AATCTGCACATGGAGGTGCACAAAGTGCTGTGCCTGCCACGAAATCTGCACATGGAGGTTCACAAAGTGCTGCACCTACCACGACATCTGCGCATGGAGGTTCACAAAGTGCTGCACCTGCCACGAAATCTGCACATGGAGGTTCACAAAGTGCTGCACCTGCCACGAAATCTGCACCTGGAGCTGGAGTTGCCTAGAGCTTGAGCTGTTGAAACCAGAGCTGGTGTATGAGCGGTGTATGATGACTGGTGTATGATGAGTGGTGTGTGATCAGTCGTGTATGATGAGTGGTGTATGATGAGTGGTGTATGATGAGTGGTGTATGATGAGTGGTGGTTGAACAGCTGCTGAATGTCCGTAACACGGAAGTTTTGCACACTAAACTTCCTTTGATCATAAGATCCAAAAAGAAGCCCATAGCCGGCCCTGGCATGTTTTTCACCTGAAGACCTCCTCAAAAAAATCCGCCCCAGCTCCAAACCAGAAATCCAACCAGAAGTCGCTCCGCCGGAAAATCGCGTCGTCGGTCGCAAGCGCATCGGTCGCTTTTCGTTTTCACTGCAGATCTTGCGGCTTTGGCTTCGTCAGCAGTGGCGTGCAGAACTTATGCATACCTGGCCGAATGCCGAGCATTCGGTGTATGGCGCGACGCGGTACGGTAGAGGGTGAAGTGAGTGGGAGACATAGGACAAACATGGTGAAAGGGCCGAAGAACAAAACAGACTGACGTGGGTGGTTTCAACGCAAGTGGATGCAAAGCGGTCCAATCATCCCAAGTCCAAGGATTGAACATATAAAGTGGGGATATTGATATCTGAAAGCACAACCTCTAGAAAAGTTCCGTCCAGGCTGTTTGGATGATAGTTATTAGTTATCCAACTGGTGTCATTGACATGGCTGGGTGATTGAAAGATCCAAACATAGGGAGAAAGTGAGAAGTCTGGAGTATGTGTGTAGGGAAGACATGGATCCAGGACCAATGATCAAACCCCGACTCTTCGCAACAGTGGCTGTCATGAAACGGCGTCAAATCGATCTTAGGGATAAGACATCCATCTTAGCGGTGGCTGTCATGAAGCTGCGTCTTTCAACAATCCAACATGAGTTGGACATTGATGTGGCCCAAAGATGCTATAACCCTGGGACCCGCTGATTGATACACCCGGGAAGATTGATTAGCATGGAACCTGAGAATTGACCTTTAGAAGACTATTTTCCTTCACAACCCTGTGGTTTTCAGGCTCCATGTCAATCTTCCGGGGTGTACCCGAGAGGTTTTGGGCGGGTTCTTGTCGAGGTGCATTTGGCCGAGTGCGCCGGCATCTTCTCTCTGCAGCACTGGATGCAATCCTCGTAGTACTCTTGCTGGCTGCCTGCAAAGTCAATGCTAAATCCAATACTCCACCCTGGTAGCGATGGCCTCCAAGCTAATAGCGATGGCCAGCAGATCTAGAAACCACCTATACTCCCTCAAATGATTCATGGAAGTGGAGTTCACCACCTGTTTGGTGTTCGGATTGAAAAGGGTCATCCAAGGGGGCATGCCATCCACGTAACCATCGATGATTTCAGGGAGTGTACGTAGAAACTATACCTAAATGTGTCATGTCACCCAGCAGAATGATGAGCAAAACCAGAAAGAGACTGCCCCCCAAAAGTGCCACTCAAACAGGTCAATGGATCTTTTGGCGGGCTTCCAATGCTACACACCACATCACCCTACAGGTTTCTCTCTGCTGGGCGAATATCATGGATATTATTTGGATTGACTTGTGCTCGTCCCGGTCCATGTCGAACAATCACCTCCCACATATGCTATTTTGGAAAGTCCGGACCAAAGCATCACAGCCGAGGTCGAAGTCTCTCCTTCCTCCCAACTATACTCCCTCCTTCCTCCTCTCCTTTGAAGTCTGTCCTTCTCGCAGTCCCCACGTCCTTCACTGCACCGAGTGGCACAACTTCTTCTCATCCCAGCTCAAGCCCTTCGGCGGTGGCGGCGGCGGTGGTGGGTGCTCCATCTCACGGAAGCTGCTGCCGCGGCGGCTCGGCGCCGCCTGAAGTCGGGCTGCTGGCAACGAAAATGGCTGGAGGAATTGTTCACGGTGAGCAAAGGTTCTGACAAGAATCCCTGGGAGACAAAACAGGAATGTTCACGTGCTTGGCTTTGACACATCTCCTGTTCATCGGTGTTTCCTCCACTGTTTCCTTATTGTTCTCCTTGTGGCGTTCGAAGTGCTTGCGCTTGACCATTTCAGAGTATTCCTGTGAAACCAAATTCCCTCAATTCGGTGAACATCTGGCGGATTGGCTCAGCTCCCATCTCATCTGACTCCAACTCGATCGAGATGACCGGATGTCGTGCAAACGAGACGACATGCGCCAGGCGGACCGACTACAGCGCTTCGACTGAGACTGGGGATGTGTTTTAAACCTCTGACTCGACCGGAATCCACTGTAGAACACTTGGGGTGTTAGAGTGATACAGGACTATGAGTGAACGGAAATCTCATTTTGCGTGGCAAGTGCTCCAGAGCTGAGCTTGGACGTGGGGCAAGCATTCAGACTCCTCGTGAATGCAGTGGCTTTTGGTTTGCCCGACGGCTTTCAGATCAAAAGAAATCGAACAATGGCCCAGGCCTTTTTTTTGTACCACAAGAAGTAAATCTCATGTTCAGAACAATGGCCCAACATTTATGAACATGGCCCAACATTAGATTCGGCCTAACATGTATGAAGGAACCAAACAACCTATCATGTTCTTTCACGTTCTCGTTCTTTCGCCTTCACCGAGGGCGTCACCTCCACGTGCGACCTCAGAGTCGGTTCCAGGTCCCCAAATCCGGGAACCGCGGTTCCGGGCGGAACGGGTCCCAAACGGTGGTGTTTTTCCGGCAGATCGGTTTGAATGAGATTCCAATCCAAGGACCTGGACTGAAAAGAAGGACATCTTCATGCATCTTCCAATCTTTTCGGAGTTACTACCGTGTGCAGGTATGACGGTTGACGGATTCAACGCAGATTTTGACCGACCGGCCGCCACGCAAACCTTTCGCTTGCACAGAGAAGCTTTACCTAAGGACCTACTGATTGTGGTGCAAGCTTGTGTTAGGAAAAAGAGTCTCATGGATCAAAAAGTCTTTGGACACCAGAACTTCAACACGATTTCCAGCACCCGACAAAAGCCCTGGCGACAATGGCCCTTTTCTCTCCACCGCTCTCCATCTGCTCGGTCAATCTCTCGCAATGAAACGCTCGCGAAGACGTTCTGGATGGTTCCAAACGTCACTGGCTGGAAACCAGTTCTCAGCCCAGTCCAGGTACTGATCGCGCAAATCCTCAGCATGGAAAACATATGCGTGGTGACGAACAAATAGCAAGAACATATGTTTTCAATGTCTTCCCAGGATTCCTGAGTCGACTTTAACAAAAACAAAGGAACGTACAAAAGAAAAGGTAGTAAGTAGTAGTATGCTGAAAAAAAGACACAAAAAAAAGAATATGACGATCCCTTCAAGCATCCCAGTGGACCTTCTGCATCGACCGCGCTCCAACAGTTGGATGAAGCACCAAGCCTTCGTTCAGCACGGCGGCGCTCCAACTGAGGCTGCTCAAGCTGGTGATGAGCACCTCGGCAGAGGCCATGCAGAGCAGCGCCTCTCGAGGATTGTTGTTCACGATGATGTGAACCTCTGGCAGGACCTCATCACCTCAAGTGGATGGAACGAATCCAAACGAATGGAGTTCAATCACCAAAAACCATCCCCACAAAATCATGGAAATTGTGATATGTCAGCAATCATGGAGGTTCTGAGACTCCGAAGCAAATGATGGGTGCTAAAATTCAGAACATGCCAATACGGGTTTGGGAAGCTCATGGCGACAGGTGGGCTCATGAATTTCATTTGCTAGGCCATGTTCAAGTGAGGCCATGTTCATTTGCAATCCGTTCAAGTCGAAGGAAAAGGTTGGACCATCCCTGTCTGTTCTTCATCACTTGTCTCAGCTGGAGCACAGGTCGGATTCTGGAGCTTGGCCATGGTATGAAAGATTGGGCCTTCGTCATCCTCCGGAGACGCTTCAAAGCCTCAGTGTCCAATGGTAGCCCTAGGTCTCCAAGTACCTCCTTAGAAGGTATGACTGGACCCTCCTGGCACCCACCCCAGTCCCACCTTCTAAGAAGGTCCTTGGAGCCCTAGGGTAGGGCATGATTTGCATGGAAAGGGGTGCATGATTTGTCGCAAACAGGCGACACCATCAGTTCTGTCCATCAGTTCTGTTTCACCCCAAGACCATGCCATCCACTTCTATGATTCTTGCAGGGACTGTAGGTGTTTTTTTTTCCACATGGCTTCCGAAAATAAGCTAAGGAGAAGGGCGCCTGAATGCACCTGGAGAGTCTGTGAAAATACCGAACTGAGAAGGATCGTCTGGCGGCAGATCGACTGATTGCTCTGTCGGACCTCAGGTCCTGGCTTCTGAACCAGAAGTGTCCGTGTTCAAAACGCTTGCGAAATGCAGTGCAAAATGCTTGCGCAATTTGTGGCACCCAGTGTGCAGGAGAGATGTCCAGTGTCGTTTGTTGAAGAACCAGAGCTCAAACAGGAAGGGTCTATACCACTGGTTGTTTTGTTCGACGAACACTCCTAGACCCAACGAAACCCACCTCACCTGCCAGTCCCTTATACCATGTACTCCTTCTCTACTCCTCGTCGTCGAATCCGCCCCCATGGAATCCCCACCCCCCACCCCCGCCACCGGTGCCGCCCAAGGCACGGAAGCCCTCGAGGCCTCTGCGCCGCAGAGCCCCGCGGCCAGTGCCCAACGCCTCGGTGAAGACGTGCAGCGCCAGGCGCGGCGCTGTCCCGCGCGACCCGCGCGGGGCGCGGGCGGCGTCGGCCGGAGCCAGGGCACGTGCTAAGGCACAAAGCCACCTGGAGAGGATGGGAATGGTCGAAAAATCGAGGACACCTATATAAGTACCGCTATTAATACGTTATAGTTTTTAGTTGTTAAACTTCAAAAGGCTTCTTTCCCCAAAGAGATTCTGGGGCGCCCCAGCCCAGCTACTGCTAGTGGGTCTGAGGTCTGAGAGCTGTTTTGCAGACATTGAACTCAAATCCAAGTGCCATGGTGATTTTCCCAGTCAGCTGCGACGCTTCGGCATGAAAATGAAGCACAAGTGGACGTGGCTGGCCATGAAAATGATTCAGGACAACCATGACCAACTTCGAAAATGACTTGTAAATATAACTTCAGCATCTCAACCAACCAAACCGTTTGTTAAGGTAATTTGACAGCTAAGTCTTGATCCCTGCCAAAGGACCACAGGGGCCACAAACAAAGACATGCCCCAAACGAGTTCACTTTCTGCTGTTGAAACCACTCAACCATCACGACCATGGTTCTTAGATGCTCTTAGAATTGAAGGGGCAAATGTCTTTCTTGACCCTTTTGGCCTCCGAAGAGGCTCGCCCTGCTCGGCCTGGGGAAGTCCGCCTTCAGCTGCTGGTTCAGGGCATAGCCCGACTTCTCTCCCACGTCGCCCCTTCGCACGTGCATCGCCACGTGCCGCAGCCCGCCATCGCCGTAGCCGCACGGCGCGGCGGCCGCGCGCGCGGTGCCACCGCGCGGCGCGGCCGCGAAGCGGCGCGCGCTGCGGAAGAGGCGCTGCAGGGTGGGCGGTGTCTGCGGGAAGCGCTGGAGGAAGCGCCAGGGAGGACCTTCCAAATCGCCTGAGGTGCAAAGCAAGTGCTGGCAGGACAGGGGTCTAACAACGATCTTGTGATGCGGCAAAATAGGGAAACAAAAGGAAACAAATATTCTACGAAAAGGGGTTCAGCAGCGTATTTGGCTCATCTTGCCTGCCAAGGGAAGAAAACAACATGTTTTCGTTGCTGTCCAGCTCTCCTTGAAAGCTGAAACACGCGAAGGACTTGGAGCTGTTCTCCAGTTCAGGATATTCGTAGCCCCACAGCAGTTGTCGCCCTTCGGGCTCCTCGCTCTGCGCCAAGAAGTCTTTTTGCAGGTCGAAGCGCCAACATCTCCTCGGATGTTGCTGTTCCGGAGCAATGCAAAATATTTGAAAAGAATCCGAATCTTCCCGAAAGAGGATTCACCCGCAAGGAAGCTTCAAAGACAAGAGCAGGTCTGCAAAATGTGTCCCCTTACAGGAAAAATAAAACAACAATAATATAAAACCTCTGCCAAAACCAATAGAAACAATAGAAACATAAACACTCGGCCAAAACATCCAAAACCAGGTGTCAAAGGGTAGTCCGGGTTTTGGGTCTGCTCCTCAGGACCATCGGCCGGACTCTCGTGGCACCACCTAAGCAAGCAAGCAAGCGATATATGGTCTGAGTGTGTGTGTGTGTCCCACCCTGGACAAAGGGTCTCACCCCACCACTTTCACACAGGCAGGGGGGCAGTGATCCCTTCAGCAGTCACTGCCTAACAAAGACGCTGCTGATCGGATGTGATATTCGGAGAGGACGCTCTCCGAACGTACCTGCCGAGTTTTCCGCACGCTGTCACCCTACTCTTCAACTTTTTGATTCATGGTCCTTCATGTTTCCACCCCATAAACATTCGTCCCCGCAACTGTGCAGCCGGTTCGCGTTTCCGCCACTTGCGAGTGCCAACATTGTTCAACAATACAGTTTAAGCTGACCTTTCCACCTTGCTGTTCCATCGCCTTCCTTCCCAACGAGACAATTGCGTTAACTGAAAATCCAAGTTCGAAGTGTGTCTGGTTGGTCGGCTCGCGTCTAAGGGTAAAAGGTGCCATGAACAAAGGAGATTCGATGACTCCAAGTGTTGCAAACTGCGCTATACTTCAGAAGTCTCTCAAAAAGGTGCCGAAGAACTGCGGAAGCCTCTACTTGAAGGGGCATTTCGGAAGCCCCAGTTGCCAAGCCGCACGGGGCCATGTGTCCAGGAGCTGGGGTGCCTCAGATGCTGTGGGCCTTCCACAAAAGAGCTCCAAAAGAGCTCGGAAACACCAAGACCCCTGGCAAGCGAAAGTAGAGCACAACACGACCCCCCTGTCGCCATGTTTTTTTTGTGTCCTCATCTCAAGGCAAAGGCAAAAAATATATAGAACCACTTGGGAATTCAACTGCATCCAGTCAAATCCAATCAACTTATGTGTGGAAACCATCAATCGGCCACTCTGGTCCCCTGTTGGTTCCAGGTTCTTTACACTTCAAGGGAAGCCAACTAATTCCACTTCAAGTCCTGGAGAGCGGTGGCCTTGTCCCTTTTGGTGGGTTCGATTGTTCTTTTTTCACACCTTTTGTGGAGCCTTTTTCTCACTTCACTTGGCAAGGGCTCCAAAATACGAGGTACCAAATAAATACGAGCTCCAATGACAACCCGTTTCATGTTTCTCTGGCTCACGATGTTTCACCCACTTCTGAAGCCAGTCGTCCTCACCGATCACCGTCCTCACCGAAGGTCCGTCCTCCGATCCAGGTCACAAGAGGCCACCGGCGGGTGGTAGGTTCACCACACCACCGTCGAAGCCCAAGAGCAGCGCTGCACCCATGAGCTCGATGGCCTACGGACAAGAGAGGTGGATGATGGCTCTGAAAAAGGGGAAAACCCAGTGGGACAAGGGTTGCTGTCAGGGTTGCTGTCTCCAGATTTCTGAGGTTCATTCATCAGCCCTTGGAATTTGAATGTTTGTTGGATAGATTCCAGTCTGCTTTGAAAGTTGAAAGGATTCTTCTCCAAATTGCTGGTCCTTTCGTCCAAGGAAGGAATAGAATCAACTGGTGGGGTCGGGTGGCGTCGAGTTACGGTCATCAACAATCTGCCGGCCTTTCGATCCTGAGAACCCGATCACCTTGCAAAATGCATCAAAGATATCAAGCAAACCCGATCACCTTCACGGTCATCTACCTGCAAAAACCAACCTGATGAAATCCTCAGCTGACACCAATCATAAGCTGACAGTTCCTTCTTGCAGGGTCTCCTTCTTCATCCACCATCACCCACCATCACTCCGTTTCCCGTGTCCAAACCCTCCGCTTCGTCCCTCGCTCTTGTCGCTCCGCGCTCCGCTCTCTCCGCTCTCTCCGCCTTCTTGAAGCGAGCGCCGATGCCATCCTGCAGCTCGTCCGAGTGCACCAGGATCACGTCGCGCAGCCACGACGAGGCGCTGCTCGCGCTGCTCGGCGTGCGCAGCTGCTCGAGGCGCCGCCGCAGCGCGGCCTCGCCTTTGGAGTCCTTCCTCGGTGTAAAAGAGGCCGAGGTGAGCTTTGGAGTCGAAGATGAACATCACTGGTACAAAGACTACTTTCATTGATGTTCATTGGCTTGTTAAATCTCTCTCATATCTCTCCAATCAGCCATTAATACATGACCTTAGGCTCTCAGGATTACTTCGGTCTTCCTCTCACATCTCTCTTTGTTACGTAATGTTTACGATATCAGTAGGTGGGTCACAGGTGCAATCACGATAGGAGAATGAAGGACACATTTGCCAGGCCTTTTTGGGGAGTCGAAGCGAACAAACATCTCAAGATGAAAACACATTATGAAAACCGGTTTTTCGCTCACTTTGATTTGATGCCCTCTTTGGATGAGAAGGTTCATTAATTATACTCGAAAAGATTAACATGGAACCAGAAAACCACTGGGTTGTAGACGAAAATCGTCTTAGTTTTCGGGAGTGTAAGAGTTTTATGTTTCAAGGGCTTTTTTCTAGTTTCGTCCAGGGTTGAATGGTTCTTCGATCTTCGGGTAGCAGTCGAGAATCTGAATCCCGTAATCGTTCTCCGGTATGGAACCTATACCCATCTGGTCACTGAGCGTCCTGTCACCAGTACAATCACATGTTCATGGAAAAACATAATTCCCAGGTCGTTGTGCATCCTCACTCAACGGCAATTTCCCAAACAGAAAACCTATAGATGGATCCTGATGGCCATGTTCCTCAACCACTCGTGCCTCTGAAACCAGTCTCATCACCCCATTCTCTTGAGCTTCACCATCTCATCTCCTCCGTCTGTCCCTCCACCACGACCCGAACGCACCACCGGCGCGCCCCAGGTCATCCTCCCGCCGCCTGCCGAGCTTCGGGAAGTGCACCCGCTCCACGCGGTCGTCTCGGCAGTGCCGCCGCGCGAAGCGCTCCACCCAGGCGTCGCCGCGCAGCGCCGCCGCGTGCAGCTGCTCTTGGCCTCGGCCCGGTCGCGGGTGGGGACTGAACCTGGAGACCGGAGGGTGGCTGGTGTGTATTGAAGAAGGAGCAATACAGGAGCAGACACCGAAGAAAGCGAATTGATTGGAGGATTGTGTGTGTGTGCGTTGGCTTGATTATTTCTTGGACGGAAGGATCAATCCCCAAAGTTGGTGACTTTTAAGGCAATCGTTCTGTGGTTGTTTCGGGCTATGCTATCTGCTTTTCACCCCAGACTCTTCCAACCAATTGTTCCTGCAACACCACAGGGTCGTCGATCGACCCGCACTCCACAGCAATTCTGCCATGCTGCTTTTTCCATCTTCGGCCAGCTGTTCGAAGGAAGGCTAATGTATGCTTGTAAAAATATCCCTTAGGGATGCCTCGATCCAGCCTCCTGGTCAAGGCGAGCAGTTGCCTCCTCCACGGCTGGGGTTGTGTATGGTGTTCAAAGAACATCTTGGGCCATTCCTTTTCCATGTCTTTCTTCCTCCTTCTTCTGCTCACTCCTACTGGAGTTCCATTCAGGTTCTTGGAACCTTCTGAGAGGGGATCACTCTCTGTCTCTCGATGTGCCGCGATTTTCTTCGGGGCCGCTACTCCTCAGTTTATTGTGTAACCAAACAATATGATTAATTGGGAAAGAGATCCCCCCAAATCTCTTTCACTTTCTTGCGCCATTCTGATTCTTCCATCTCTGGATCTTCCTCTGCTTCCTTCAGCAGCTTCTTCAAATCCGGGAAGGACCCAATCAGGTCTTTGTGTGCCTTGGCAAAATATAGGAAGCCTTCGGCACTCAACATCGGACCCGCCCCTGACAAAGTCACCAAGACCCTCAAAGGTTTAATCGATACGAAGAGAAGAGAAACTGTCACAGGCAAGAGTGTGGATGCCATCGCGCGGCTGAGACCCTCTGACATGAGATCGCTCTCAAGCACTGAGCGTTCCCTCTTCGGTAGACCATGTAGCCACTGTGGAGGCCAGAAGAGCTCGACTGTGCGACCGAAGAAAAAGGGCAAGACGCCGCAGCAGCAAATGACAAAGCGGAAACCGACAACAAACGAGGGCATGCCTCCCGGCAGTCGCTTTTTCATTAACAAGCGCAAGCAGAGCAGGACCGTCCAGGAAAGATACCACCAGCAAAAGAAGGATCCAAGCAAATATATGACAGCTGGAACAAATCTTCTCAGAACATCCAACAACCAAATACCAGCCGTGAGCATTCTCAATTTGCTGATGCTCCCCCCCAATTGCGGACAAAGTCAGACTAATTGCTTCAGCCCAAAGCGGTAGCCGGTAGCAGCACAAGCATTCCACAAATCACTAGTCCATACTCTTTCTTTCCGGCATGCTGTGGCTGCGACCCAACATTCTTCAAAGGTTCAAGCGGCCATATCATCAAGTGTCCCTCTTGCCAGCTGCTGGAAGCCTTTTCGACATGGTGCGGTATCTTGTGTGCCTGGAGGTACAAGCAATCGCCATACAAAGCCGTGTTCACCCACAAGAAGAATTGGTCAACTGCTCCTTTCAAGAGAAAACAGGGGCTGATCATTGCTGCTACAGCCTCAAGCAAAGGCATCTGGTAAAAGCAGGAGCAGTTTCCATCAGGGTGTGGTGAAGCAAAGACTTGGGCGCAGCCACTAGCCCAAAACACACCTGAAATCCCAGCCAAAGACTGACTAAGTAGGGCGACATATCCTACAAACAACGAGCGATTTGGCTTCGAGTTCTGCAACACCAGAAGGTCATGCAAGAATGTTGCACACCCCCACAAGCATATGAAAATGAGAGAGGTGTACATTCCAGAGCCAAGAAGATTGTTCTGAAACCCAATTCTCATCGATTCACTGTTGCATGTCTCCTGCATCTCCGCAAGTGTCATATTAGGACAAAGGGCCGGCTGTTGTACTTGGTCAGCATCACGCTCCCTTTCAATCGTTCGCATATGGACAATGCCATAATGCAATCGAAATAGGAGACGTTCTCTCTGTTCAGCAACATCTGAAGAATGACTGCCGCTTGTGAAGGTGAAATTGGCCTGCTGGTGGCCATAGGTGCTTGGGCTCAGTGTCACTATGTTGGCCTTGCCATTTCTCACACTTGCAAAATACCCGTCAGTGCTTGCAACACTCCTGGAGCCAAACAGCCTCTTATAGACGCAGCCTGCCTCATCATTGCAGGCGTGAAGGTTCTCCGCTTTGACATTGCTCACTGTGTAGACAAACAAAACATGAGGTAGGACCATGACCAACATCAGCACGACCAATTTGCATGCCATTTTAGTCGTCTGCCAGTCACATGTGGGTTCTTGGCTTGCCGCCGTGGTGTCTTCAGGGAGGGTTGGAGAATCTGCCTGTTCAAGATCCCTTTTCCAGTCACATTGACATGCGCGCTCTTCACTTTCCACCTGCCTTCCCTCACAATCCTTTCTCCTGCGTGGCTTCAGTAGTTTCCTTCGCTTCTTGGCATCTTCTTGACCTGTTGAAACTTCTGCTTGCTCTAGATCACTTCTCGAGCCTCTGAGTCTAGAATTTGTATCTGCTTTGTCCACCTCCGGATCCTTCACATTGAGGAGCAAAGCTTCCGTATCCCCGTGAGGGGAACTTGGGACATCTCCATCGGCATTGGCAGATCCGTAGGTCTGAGGAGCTAGTGCCATGCAGAAGATGAGCTCAAAGGACGATCTAAAATGTTTAATTGCGTGTGTTGACCCGAAAGTCTATGCTTTCTACAAATTCTGCCCTTCGACGCCCTCCATCAGCATGAGTCTTGGGATCGTAACAAGCCAATATCATGGCGAGGATGTTTCTGAACAGCTCACCAAGTGTGCCTCTGAACCCCTTGCTGCGATTGGGTATCCACACAGGTGCAAGGCTTCAGTGAGGGCAACTTCCTCCAGCCCTTTCAAATCTAGCAAAGATTAGAAAAGACATGCAGAGATTCCTTTCATGGTCAAACCATGGTCAAACCACACAATGAACAATAGAACCGCCTCCCCCCTTCACAAGAAGTCCCATTCTGCCAAAACGTCTTTTTCAGCCGAAGCTCCAACTTCCTCCAACTTCGCCATGACCTCCTCCAGCGGCACCAGATCCACTCCGCTGCTCGCGTTCAACGCCCGCAGGCACCGTTCCGCGCCGTCAACGCCGAAGACCGAGCAGTCGGTGCTGGGCGTGCCGGCGCGAGCGGCCTCGCAGCCGCGGGAGCTGTAGCCTCTGGGCGGCGGGTTCCACAGGGGGGTGAGCGGAAGGAGCCGGAATGGGGCGGGGTGATGAGGTGTGAAAGGATCTGGCTGGCTGCAGAAGGAGGTGCTTCTTTCAGCCTATTGAGAAGCCTTTCAGGCTGAGGGAAGAAAACCAGGAACAGTCTAGCTGGCTTGCTTTCAGGGGCTTAGAACCCATAGACATCTGGTTGCAGATCTGTTGCGGATCACAACCCATCTACATACATGCGATGTAGCGCTTTCAGAAAACAGAGATGTAAAACAAACTGTCCCTTCTGCCCTTAATGGAGAGGGCCATCTCCCTTTACACCCTGAGTTCTTCCCACCCCAATGCTACCAAGTCACACTGCTCACTGGCAAGAGTCGCTTGTGCCCAACCGAGCACCGTCCATAACTTCATTGGGAAGCAAGCAGGTGACCGGTGCTTTGGTCAGGGCGAAGGATCAATTTATGGTTTTCAGCATATGGGGAACAGCGCAAAGATCCAGGCTTCATTGCCGCCTAGGTCATGTCGACTTTTTTGGTGGGCCACAGTTCTTGTTGAGTAAGAATATATATGATATATGATGAGATATCGGGACATCGGCATGAAGGGAAAACACTAACATAGACATTTAGAGTATCAGCCTCGCCCCTGTGTTCAGGAGTGCGCATGGTGTGTTATGTTTGAGGTTAACTTGCTGACTGTGCAACGACCATATGTGATGCTTCTTTTGATGCATTGCTTCGTTTGATCCGCAAAGAATACCCAACGGAACGAACAGAACCTAGAGCAGTAAGTACAAAGCAGCTGATAAATAGCCTGAGCCTCTTTAAGAAAGGCATTCCAGTCGGTGCCATCGAACAACATGCCACTCACGGTCTTACTTGGGTATCTTTGTCATATATCATATCATCTGTTCACTATCTTGCAAAATGGAATGATCGCTTAAGCTCACCTTGGCCTGCAAGAACCATCCCTTCTTGTCATGGTCTTCACCCAAACACTCCAAAAATTGCACGTCTGGCTTCTTTTCAGTGTCTAGAAGAAGTAAAGCCACTACTACATACTACCAAATATGCGCTGCTTCTATCATGTCACTCCTATTCGTTCTAGAATCCACGACGACGTGTGTTTCGCCTTTTTGGCACAGCGCACAGCTCGTTAACATACCCTCCACCATGCTCGGTCGGCGTGAGGGTCACAGCACGGTGTCGGGATCCACCCGCTTCCACGCGCAGCGCTTGCCCGTGTGCCTCAGCTGGTTGAACCATATATAACAAGGCCATTGAAGGACCATCTGCTCGTGGTCGCCTTCATGTTTTTGAAGGAACAACTCCGGAATCACCTCAGAAGGAAGATAATCCACTATTATGCACTGCTTGATTGCAGTGAGTTTGTGTGTGTGTTGATGCTCTTTTTCGGGGACTTCTTCCCCATCGCAGATCCTTGTCTTCAAACCAGTTCCGCAACAAGAAACCCTATTTCCACCAAGCCCTCCCAAACAAGCCGTTCTCCAAGTGGCAAGCCATCCAAATGTTTCATCTTGGAACTTGACCCGAGCTGCGCACAGCTTTCATCGGTGGCCCTTCCGTGCGATCAACTCTGAGGGAAGAATCCCATGTGATCAGGTTCTTCCATTGGAACCTGAAAGAGGTGTCAGCAGCAAGGCAGCCTTGTTCCGACGTGTTCCGATGACAGAAATTATGTGTTCAGGTCAAATGGTAGCAGAAACCCTGTCAAAAAAAACTTGGCAAAAGGCTGAAAAAGGCGGAAGTTCATGCCTTCTGAGTGTCATCCATCCCTTGAAACCAACTATAACCAAGCCATTCAGATCCTGTATGATCCTGTCACCACATCTGTGTTCAACTCTATACGTTACCATCATCCAAGCACCATCCACTAACCATCACCGACCACCCTCCCACCTTTCCTCCTCATCCCTGCCCCAAAACACCGGCTCACAGTGGCACTCCTCAGGAGTGGTCTTTAGTTTTTGAGTCACGGCCGCAAGTGACTGGACGCAGCCGCAAGTGATGCAAATCTCGCCCTCCAACAAGCACGATCTTGTGAATAGCATTTCCCCGAACATCCCAAACTGAATACCCTTCATCTCTACACCAAAATGCTTATGATGGATCACTCATGATCACTCCTACTTCCGAACTTCCTTGATTCACCAACTCCTCTGTCTTCCACCACCCGCAAGCGCCTGCCTCCACAAAGCACTCCGCCTCCACCGCGGTTTCGGGCGGGCGCCGCGCAGCATGTGTTTCGTGCTGGTGGGTGGTTCCACTGTGGCCCGAGAACGGAAGAGGGCAAAGTGGGTGCTTGATTGAATGATAATTGATGAGATTTCTTGGTATTTGTGCATGTTCGGGCTGAATCATGCTGAATCCATGGCGTTGGACAGTGCTCCCATGTGCTATCATCTGCTACCTGATTTCACTTCGGTTGGTTCCAGAATTGTGAATGCTATTCGAGGTTCGACCATCGATATATCGACCGCAGCGAGTCTGCAATGCTACTTTTTCATCCAAAGATTCGTCCAGCTGATTGAAGGACGGCTGATGTATGCTTGTCTAAACTATCCCTTAGGGATCCCTTGAGCCAGCCTCCTGGTATAAGGCAAGCAGTTGCGTCCTCTACTCCTCTACCAGCTGAGGATGCATGTGACTTTGAAAAAGCATACTTGTTGGATCTTGTTGGAGCAAAGCCATGTCATTCCTCTCTCTGCACTCCTTTTGGAGTTCTGTCAAGGTTCCTGAAAGGGGTCATTCTGTGTCTTTTGCCTCCTTCCGCAACTTCTTCAAAGCTGGCATGAACAAACATTCAAATCCAAAACAAAAGACCACTAGCAATGCATTGTTGACACCCAATGCCCTCAGGTCGCTGTCAAGCGCCGAATGTTCCCTCTCCGGTAGATTCTGCAGCCACTGTGGAGGCCAGCTATATTCGAAGGAGAGGAGACACGCATGGAAAAAGACCCAGCAGCAAGCCACAAACATGCCCAGAGCAACTGCAGCAATAACACACAACCCAAACCAAAATCCATCATCGAAATAAGTACGGAGCCGGCCCATCAGCAGCATCTTCCCACCCCGAATGGGAATCCAAAGCAGAAGGAAGCCCCACGACAGCACCTGCATTCCGAATAGAACAACTCGTATGAGCGAATCCACGACCCAAATATCCGCCGTGAGTGTCTTCAATTTGCTGGCGCTCCCGGAAACTGCAGACATGGTGGACCCAATGCCATACACCCAAACCACAAACCACAGGAGAGTTCGAAGTCTCATTCGGGCAAAAGAAACACCTCGAACATGCTGTTGCTGGGACGGCACAGGATGCACGAGTTCAGGTGACCAGATCATCAAATGTCCATCTTCCCAGCTCCTCGAGAATTTCTCAACATGATGTGGTATCTTGTGTTCCTGGAAGTACAAGCAGTCACCATATAGCACCGTGTCCACCCACAAAGAGAACTGATCGGTTGCTCCTTTCAACAACCAAATGGGACTGATCATTGCTGCTACAGCTTCAAACACAGGCATCTCATAGAAGCAGGAGCAGTTCCCAACTGGGTGTGGTGAAGCAAAGACTTGGGCGCAGCCGCTTGCCCAATACACTCCTGCAATAGCAGCTACAGTGTGAAGAAGTAGTGAGAAGAATCCTATAGACAATGTGAGCTGGGGCTGAAAGTTCGCCAGTACGAGATAGTCATGCAAGGCTGAAGCAACCCCCCCACAAGCAAGTGAGGACCATAGACGTGTACATTCCTGCACCGAGAAGATGGTTCTGAAACCCCATCTTCATTGACTCGCTGTTGCATCGCTCCTGCATCTCTTCCGGCGTCATACTCTCACAAAGGGCAGGCCACTGCTCTGGGGGAGGACCCTGAAGTAGCTCCGAGGGCAGTCGTCCTATCCAGAGGATCAGTTGTTCAATAAGAGGCCTTGAGACCTTGGCCCTCATTTCAGCCACCCGTGAAGAATGGTTATCACTTGTGAAGGTGAAATTTGCCTGCTGGTGGCCATGGGTATTTTGGCTCAGTGTCACTACGTTTGCCTCCCCATTCTTCACACTGGCAAAATAGCCGCCGGTGCTTGCAACATTCTGAGAGTCCCAGAGCCTCTGAAAAACACAGCCTGCCTCACTGTTGCAGGGTAGAAGGTACTCCGCTTTGACATCACCCACCGTTGCGATGGAGATAATATGTGGTAGAACCAGGAAGAAATGCATTCCAATCAGTTTGCAGGTCATTTTAGACTTCTGCCAGTCCCCAGCCATCCAAGTCTTCAGGTCTTTCATCCATGTGGCACAGTCCTTACTCGCCACTTGGGCATTCTCGCAGAGTGGTGGAAGCTCTGCGAGCCCACAGTGCTCACCTTTCGAGCCCACAGAGTCGACATTGGTATCCGCTTGGTCTTCCTCCGGATCCTTCACATTGAGCAGCAAAGCTTCTGAATCTCTGTGAGGAGAACTTGGGGAGCCATCGGCATCAGCAGAACCAAAGGTCTGTGGAGCCAGCGCCATGCGGAAATGAGATCAAAACGCTCAAAACATCATCTGAATCTAAAGTGTTGAATCCGTCTTGACTAGAAAACTTAAGTCTCATCTTCTACAGTTCTCTATGTTTTCCCCTGCTCTTCAACGCCATCCATCAGCATGAGTCTTGGGATCGTGCAGACCAAAATCGTGGAGTGGGCTGGATGCTTCTGAACAGCCTGCCAAGCGTGGCTTTGAGCCCCTTGCTGCGTGTCGATATAGAATACGTATAGAAAGCTTCAAACTTCAATTGTCCACAGCAACGTCCTCAATCTCCAGCTGAGGCATGCAGAACTGCCAGAACTGTCATTGATCAAACTTAAGTTAACCTCTTCCCATCGCGTCATGACTTCTTCAGCCAAGACTCCAACTTCGCCACGACTTCCTGTGGCACAAGGTCCACCCCGCTACTCTCAGCCTCGGGGGCAAAGCAGCGAGCAGACCGAGAGGGCGAGAAGCTGTGTCGGCACGCGCGACGCCGGTCCACGGCGTTTGGTTCGCACGCGCAGTGCAGGTTTTTGGGACTTTTTGTTTGACCTGAGAGCAAAATGGAGTTATAAAGATGGCGTGTCAGCACCAAGGCAGCCTTGTTCCGATGATGGAAATCCAGTCATCCAGGTCCAAATGGTAGCAGAAACAATCAGGCAAAAGGCTGAAGTGTGTTCCTTGAGTCCTTCTGAGTGTCATCCATCCCTTGAAAAAAACAACAATAACCAAGCTATCCAGATCCTGTCACCACATCTGTGTTCAACTCTTTTCAACTCTTCAGGTTCCATCCACATACCATCATCCAAGCACCATCCACTAACCATCACCGACCACCCTCCCACCTTTCCTCCTCATCCCTTCCCAAGAAAAACCTGCTCAGCGTGGCGCTCCTCACAAGTTGTCTGTTCAGCTTTTGAGTCCCAGCCGCAAGTGACTAGTCGCAGCGCAGGGCGAAGACACTTGGCGCGTTCTCCAGTCATCACCGCCTCAATGCTTCGTTCCGGCAGCAGCCCGGAGGGAAGGCGGAGCGCGGTGTTGCAGGGGCACCGGCGCGTCAAGACGTGGACAGGTTCCTGGCCTGGTACAGGAGGGAAGGAAAAAATGCCCCGGTAATACAACTAGAAGCTGGTTGGGACCCTCTAGCTAGTCATCCAATCCAAACAGCTTCTGGGAAGGCAGGAAGATCCGCTGTCATTGGAGTTCATCCCTATCAGACCAGGGAGGGTGATTTCCATGAGAAAAGAATGGTGCCAAGTCCAGAAAACACGACAAAGCACTGATAGCTTTACGTTTTAGTGCCTGCACTGTCGACATGTTGCACACAAGTCAGTGTCTGCATGTGTTTTTTCAATAAAGCTGTTTGAAGACCACAGAGCCTCCGAACCTAAACACGCACCACAGCCACCAACTGAACAAAAGCTCTGTAGAAGTCGTGAACATGCATGAAGACAAGTCCGCAGTCCTGCGTGGACTCTTTGTCACACTCAGAGCGCCAAGAGGCAGAGCGCCGCCGCTGCCAGGCAGAGCGCCGCCGCTGCCGCGCAGCGCGCCGGCGGAGCTGCTGCTCTGGGCCTGCAGCGACTTGAGGTCCAGTCGGGCGCGAAAGCAAATGGAGCAAACAGGATTCTGCGCTGAGATGATTGGATGATGAGTTGTTTTGGCTAAGATTTCTTCCTCTGTTTTGCATAAAGTAAAGACCCAACGTTGCAAAACCCCCAATCTTATATTGTGGACAGTGTTATCCACTTTCACCGACTAATCCAAGTTGTGCCCGCTTTTGAAGATACGATGATCGATACAGTGATCGCGCAGGACTTTTGTCTGTTTTTCTTCGAACAGTTGTGGTTGTAGGGACGTCATGTATGTGTTTCCGTCCTTTCAGGTTCCTTTCCTCGCTCCTTTCGGAGTTCCTTCAAGGTGTACGAACTGGTTATTCTGTGTCCTTTCTTGGCAGTGCCCGGCGAAGACGAGCAATGAGAGGGATAGAAACTCGGTTGTGCCCAATAGAAGCCAACCAAATCTTCACTTTCAGCTGCCATGCTGACTCTTCCATGTAGGGATCGTCCTCTGCTTCCCGCAGCAGCTTCTCCAGGTGTGGAAAAGACTGGATGAGGTTCTGATGCATCCTGGCAAAACTTAAGAAGCTTGTTGCACTCGTCATCTGATCGTGCCCCATCAGCGTCAAGAACAGTCTTAAGGGTGGAACAAAAAGGGCAAATACGGCCGGCACCACTGCCGAACTGATCACTGAGCTGAGTCCCAATGACATCAAGTCGTTGTCAAGCACGGCACGTTCCCTCTCTGGTAGATCTTGTAGCCACCGTGGAGGCCAGAAGTTTCCGAAAGTACCCGCAAAAATATGCCACAAGAACTCACCGTTGCAAACAAGAAGGATGGCACTCACGACGCAGGGGTAAAACCAGGTCTGGCATTTCCGTGGCTGTCCCTTCTCTACCCAAGGCACTCTCTCCTTAAGCATTCTCATGATCTTCACTGCAAAAAAGGCATCAAGCAAACATAGGACGATCCATCCAATCGCAAGTGCTATGGCTGGAACAATTCCTATCACCAAATCCAAGAGCCATTTATCAGCCGTGAGTGCCTTCAATTTGCTGACGCTCCCTCCGATTACAGAGGCAATCAGCATAGGCATGTAGGCCCAAAGAACAAGAAGCCAACAAATTCTGAAAACCATCCGTACAAATCCATCGCGTTCAGGATGCGGTGGCTGCAACTTGACTTGTTTTGAAAGTTCCAGCGGCCATACCATGAGATGTCCCTCCCGCCAGCTCATGGCAGCTCTTTCGACATGGTGCGGTATCTTGTGCATCTGGAGGTACAAGCAATCGCCATACACGGCTGTGTTCACCCACAAGAAGAACTGGTCAACTGTTCCTTTCAACAAAAGAACAGGGCTGATCAATGCTGCTACAGCTTCGAACACAGGCATCTGATAAAAGCAGGCACAGTTCCCAACTGGGTGTGGTGAAGCAAAGACTTGGGCGCAGCCACTTGCCCAGAACAAGCCTGCAACTCCAGCCAGGGTCTGAAGAATCAAAGCGACAAATCCTACAAGCAAGGAGCGCTGGGGTGCGTAGCTCAGCAACACCAAAAGGTCATGCAAGAGTGTGCAAGACCCCCCACAAGGCTGTGAAAAATAGAGAGGTGTACATTCCAGCGCCGAGAAGATGGTTTTCAAACCCCATCTTCATTGATAGACTATTGCAAGAGACCTGCATCTCTGTGAGTGTCATATCTTGACAAAGCGCTGGCAGTTGTGCTGGGCTAGTCTGAAACAGCTTGCAGGGTAGTCGTGCAATCTCCATGAGCAGCTGTGGTACAACCCTTGAAATCTGGAGGCGTTGTTCCATTTTATCTACTTCTGAAGAATGGGTCTCACTTGTAAAGGTGAAATTAGCTGGCTGGTGGCCGTAAGTGCTTGGGCTCAGTGTCACGATGTTGGCCTCCCCGTTCCTCACGCTCGCAAAAAATGCGCCAGTGCTTGCAACACTCCTGGAGTCCAAGAGTCTCTGATAGACGCAGCCTGCTTCATCGTTGCATGCTTGAAGGTTCTCCGCTTTGACATTGCTCACCGTGTAGACGAAAAGGACGTGTGGTAAGACCATGAACAGCATCTTTGTGACCAATGTGCATGTCATTTTGGTCGTCTGCCCGACTTCCATGTTCTGACGGGGACACCATCTGCATTTGGGTTCACTTGCCACCGTCGCATCCTGAGGGAGTGTTGCAGGTTCTGCCTGCTCTAAATCACCTGGAGTGTCTGCATTTGTATCTGCTTCGTCCACCTCCGGATCCTTCATGTTGAGGAGCAAAGCTTCCGAATCTCCATGAGGAGAAATTGGAGAGCCATCGGCATCAGCATCAGCACAACCATAGGTTTCAGGAGCCAGCGACATGAGAAAATGAGATCAAAGCACGCTCTGAAATGTTGAGTCGCGTGTTGTCTGAACCAGAATATACATGCCTGGTCTTCATCGGTTTTCTAGTGCTCTTCAACACCCTCTATGACCATGTGTCCTGGGATCATAACAAACCAACATCATGGCATGGGTTGGATAAGATTTCTGAACAGCCCGCCAAACATTCCTTTGAGCCCTGTGCTGTGATTGAGGTATCCACACAAGTACAAGGTTGCAAACGTCTCACAGCAGCTCCTAAAAGAACCCCAAATGTCTATCATATATAGTCAAAGCATGTCAAAGAGTCAAATCACATAAGAGAGAACCGCCTCCCCTTCACAAAACCTCTCATTCTGCCAAAGCCTTTTTCAACCAAGACTCCAACTTCTTCCAACTTCGCCATGATCTCCTCCAGCCGGACAGTCGTACCGGTGCTGCTGGCCGCGGCCGGAGCTGTAGCCTCCAGCAGCGGCGGGGTCCAAAGCACCAAACGGAACGAGTCCGTCCAAAGCAAAGCCGCGGTATGTTGGCGGGACGGACCTATTCAACATAACTATTAGGCTATATACTCGAAAGGCTCCAAAAAAAAAAACTATCGATCAGACTATCTCTTGGCAGAGATCTATGTAAACCGCCGCTCCAGGGTAGTAATAGTGGATAAGTTTAGTATACCTCAGTCTTGGAAAGAGCCGAGGACAGAGTCAGGCGTGGCCGACCGGAGGGAGTCCGACAGAGTGGTTCCGAATGCGCACGGAACGTGCATGAACGGAGGCTTGACGATGTTGGAAGCCGAATTCTTGGCTTGACCATGCTCTTCTTGGCTTGAAGCCCGGACACCCACTGGGAAGCGGAGATGCCGAGACTGAGCCAAGAAAACCAGGAACAGTCTAGCTGGCTTGCTTTCGGGGCCTTAGACCTTGTACATCTCGTGGCATCACTTGCAATTCCAAACCCACGTAAGCAGAGCGTGACGGCTTCTCCAAAAAAACTGTAAAACAGCTCTGGATCTGGATGTGAAACAAATTGTCTAAGTTTGCCGCGTTCGGCCCCAGTAAGGCTCATCTACACACTGGGGTCCCTCCCAATGCTTCCAAAGGAAAAAACCGGAAGCCAAGCCACACTGCTCACGCCCAACCGAGCACCGTCCATAATTTCACGGCGCTAAGCTAAGCCTCCCAGATTTGGGTCCAGGCCGCCGCATTACAACGCTGCGGTAGAACGCAGCTTTTGTGCATGTTTGTTGTATGTATACCATCCAGGTCAGTTCACGTGACTGAGCCGAAAAAATTCTGCGTTCAGGGGTGCAACTTGTGAATGAGCAAGTGACCAACGGTTCTGTTTGGATATCTGAAGCAGGGTCCAGGGCCTCCAAACGACCTGTGGCTATGGATCCAAGTGCCAGCTAAGCTAATAAGAAGGGAACTCCTGCGCCACAGGTGCCATCACAAGGTGGCAACGTTCCAACTAAAGCCAAGCGTGACTTGTTCCGACTGAGCTTCACACAGGCTGGCAGGCACCTGCGACAACGAAAAGGGCACGGTAGGAAAAAGGAACAAAACGATACCAAAATGTCAATATTGACCTGACTCATTGGGCATGATGAAGGTGATGGAGATGGACAGATCACGAGATAATCAGATTGAGACTATGCACGGTTCAAAACCGCACGGGCAACGCCCGCCACGAACGAACGAACCATCGATGTCCCCTCGCGGGAAGAAGGCGGTTCAGTTCTGCGCGTGTTCGAAAACGTTCGACTCCGGATTCCCCGAGGACGGTCGGCCGAATCAGAGCCCTTCTTCCCCACAGCACGTCCAAGCCGCTGATTGACGAGGACGAAAAAAACACCCACCCAATGGTGTGTATAGTTGTTGATCAAGCTCAGGGTTCATGGATACGTTGACTTCATGCAGCTTGGCATTTCTCTCACTGCCCTCTTGCAATTGAGAAGGGGTGGGCAGTGTGGAACCAGCTGGCCATGAGAGAAAGTCGGCCAAGAGTCGCCGCTGGATGTCTAGCCGTTCTGCGGATCAGAGTGTTTGTCTGTCTTTGGGTTCCCAATGTTTAGTCGATCGTCAACCTGAGGTAGATAGAATGTGGGCAATCCCCACAAAAGGGGACAAGAGGACCATGGCATGAATTGACTTGTGCAATGAATGGCTTATCCGATCGAAATGATTGAACCATGTTCCTTCGAAGTTTGTCAAAATGGCATGGTGTCTACCTTTGACGTGTTCCAAGAGTCTTCCTTTTTGTAGGATGGTTTTACGAAAGAATCTAGCAATCGCGGTTGGGGAACTCCCTGTAACCCCGAACGGCTCCCTGTTCAATGGGGAATATGCATACTAGCAGCAACCATCAGTCGCTTTTTTCTGGCTTGCACCAGCTGGGAATCGAATCAACGAATTCCCAGGTTCGTGCCTGAAGAAAATCTCCGCTGCGGGCCATGGAAGCCTGAACGAGTGGAGGGCCAACGAGGCGGGACAAAGTCCACACGAAGCACCATGTATTGAACCGCACGAACGGTAGTAGATGAAGTGAGACTGCCACAAGGCATTGCATGGATAGACGACACAAGTCTTGAAGCAAATGATGGACAGAATTCCGAATTCCCAAATGCTGATAGGTGGGCATCCCACTTCACACACTCAGTCTTGCGGAAGTTGACAACGGAGATCACAGTAGTTTGCTTCTTCAGAAAGAACAGGAAGGTGGTTGCTACAGTTCTACAAGCAAGCTGGCTCCTCGAGCTTGCAGGAACTCAAACGGTTCACTTGCCCTCCTGAACTGAAAGCTCAGGCATCCCCAACAACCCTTCAAAGACCGCAAAAGACGATGGTTTCCTCCAAGTAGGAGGCTGGCCTCTTCTAGACCCATGTTCATCTCCTGTCCGCCCCTCGAAACATCATTGGCCTCAAAGGGTGCATAGGCAAATGAGCCTCAGTGAGAGATCCGCTCGTAGAACAGCGATGCAAGCATGGATATGCCAAGTTCGGTCACTGGCCACAAGCGAGTTGGGATGGAATAGCTCTTCTAGATGCCAGGATCACAACATTGCCAAAGCCAGGCCAACCGCATGAACTCATCTGATTCCAAAAGTACACTCAGCTTAGTTTCACGGACCTTCAAACCCTGATCATGCCCATGCGTCTGGCATCTCCGTTTTGGCTCCAAGTGACTCAGCGTCTTTGGCGGCTTCATGGCAGCTCCCATCGGCACCGCCTCAGGCGACAAAGGAACACAACGAACAGGACATCAAACTTAGCAAAGGACACGTCGAGTCTCATGTGTGCTTGTCCAGAAAAATGATCGTGCGACTTCAATGGTCGTTTTCTCAAAGGATTCATGTATGTGATGTGTATAATGCATGCATGCATATATACCGTCTACTGTGAATGTTCGCATTCTTTGGATTCGTCGCTTTCCTCAACGAGCCACAGCTACCACAGCCGCCCGTGGTGGCGCTACGTCCAGCGGGCAATGCAGAGCGCATCGGGCGCCCTTCTGCGTGCCCAGAAGGTCTGCGATGGGTGCTGTCTGCGCGTCGAAGCGCATGGCAGCACTGATCGCGAGCGATATGATTCAGTTTTTAGATACGAGTAAGGTGGGATCAATCAGAGTGCTAGATCAAATGAGGTAGTAGGTTAAACGAGGTATCTTGAGATAATTAAGGCTCTTTTAAGATGCATTAAGGCATTAGGTTGATTGGATGATGAGGATAAGGACATTAAGAGCACTGGTAGAGAGTTCATGAATCGTCGCGGAAACCTCTTGTCCACAGTCGTCGTGTGCTTTGGGATGTCGGGACGACGAGTATGGAGGAGGAGTATTCATGGCCATTAGTTGGTTGATTCATCAAAAGCGCGAAATGATTAAGCTTAGGATTCTGATTGGTTTTGTATGGTTTTGTTAAACTTAGGATTTTGTTTAAATGATTCCCATATGATTCATCCATGTTTAAGTTATGGCCATCATTCATCGGGCCATTGTTTTAAAATTATGGCCACATTTTGATTGATGTTGATCCTTCCACGTGTTCGGATTTGCCACACGTCTTTGTCCAAATCACTGGCGAAGCTGGCATCTTTCTATAGGGACCTGATAGTTCCCTGGCCAAATCCTGAAGACACAGGCGTCAGGGTTTTAGGGCCAGAATGGGCCAGAATGGTTGCTATAACATATTGTATTGTATTGTCATGAAGGGACAGCATATAGACAATTAAAGTATCATTGACTCTTCAACTGTGTTCAGGAGCGCGCGTGGTTTGCTATCTTGCAGCTCAACTCGTTGAAGACGTCCTTGGGCACACTATTCTTAGTAACAGTGCAACAAGCTGCTACGAGTACCATTAGGATGGTCTCAAAAATATAGGTTGCTTCTCATTGATGCACTGCTTCTTTGGGATGCAAAGGGAACGAATCGGACCGGATTGGTGGCGGTCCGGTTAAACCACATCAATCACCTCTTCAACAAAGGCATTCCACTAGACCTCGACCTCTAGGACCTGGACCTTGCGGAGGACGACTCGGTGCGGTCAGATGTTTGCAGTGTGGTCATACCCATACACTCCATGGGACTGGCATAGGACTGCCGAGAAACGGCCAGGGGTGGTGCCAGGGGGGGTCTGGCTTGATCGGCAGTCCGGACTGGCAGTCCCATGGGTCGTGTCTGGGATATGAGTTGAGGAATGGAATGATTCAACGATCCCTTAAGTTCACCTCCCGGCCTGTAAGCACCGTCGCTTTTTGTCATGGTCTTCACACCCAGACACTCCAAGAATAGCACCCGACACACCCTGACTCTGCAAGTCGACCTGCAAACTCAACGGCCTGCTGTTCAACAGCTTCAAGTCCAAACCGTTCATTGCTTGCAGCTATATCCACTATAGGGTCGAATTCGCAGAATCAAGTCGCAGGTGTATTCGCACTCCCCAGGCAACAGCACTGCATTGCAGTGACGACGGTGGCTCGCTTGGATCGGATGTTTTCATCCTCCGGGGGCCGTCCTTGTCGGCCGAAAAAGGGGTGTCATCCCCAGCCAAGCAGGGGATGTTCTTCGGTGCCAGCTCGCGAGCTGCGTATGATTCGATATTGGTTGTTCGAACCAACTGCACTGACTGACCAACCATACTGGCTCACATCACCAACCATACTGGCTCACATATGGTAGACTTGCGTGACTACACCCACCAATCTTCACTACGAATCTTGCGGCACTGCCTCACTGTCTTTTCACTTCATCGGCAGGCTCACTGCACGGTGTCGGGATCCACCCCCTTCCACGCGTAGCGCGTGCCCGTGTGCCTCAGCCGGTCAACGACCACGAGGCCACATACTCTTGAAGGAACAAATCCAGCACCGGCTCAAGTGGAAACTACTACTTTGTCTTGAAAAAAAAGATCTGGCACCAGCTTAAAAATCTTTACGAACCAATAGTAATCCTTGTCGTCAAAAAGCAGCGAAACCGTCACCATGCCACACATTCCGCGAAACGTCCCGCCCAAAGAAACCCACACAAGACATTCTATCATTCTCCAGGTGGCAAGCCATCCAAGGCTTTCATCTCGGAGCTCGACCTCAGCTGCTGTTGATCCATGTTGATCCACGAGGCTGCTCTTCTGTGCCATCAACTCTGAGGGAGCAACAAAATATTGGGGTGGGAGGGAGAATCTCGTGTGATCAGGTTCCTCTTCTGGAACATGAGAGTACTGTCATTTCACCTCCTCCACAGTGGAACAAGGCTGCGTTTCAGCACAGTTAAATCCTGAACCAACCCTGCTTGAAGGACCAAACAACATTCTCAAGAGTGTATCTTGCGAGTGTCATCCATCTCTCCAAAGCCAGAAGCGCGTAATTCCATTCATCCATTCGTCCTCCACTACTAAGGCCTTGAACCCCACGGCAAGGGGTTTTTGGGGTCCAAAAAGCCACCAATCCCAGGCACAGCTTGAAACCGAAGACGTTCGCGTTCTCCATCATCCGCTCGGGACGCACCGACTTGGGAATCACATGGCCTCAAGGAGCCGCACCGATCGATGCCGCACCGAGCGTTCCCGGGGCATTGCGGTGAGTCCGGTGTGGTGTCAGGTGTCTAGACGTGGACAGTGTCTATACCCATACACTCCATGTATGGCATACATGCCTACATTGGGGTGGTTTGGGGGGTCAATGTAGGCATATATGGCATACATGGAGTGTCTGGGATAGTAGCTGGTAATTTATCCGGAGTCTTCCGCTAGGCTCTTGGTCATTCTATGTCATCACGGAGCCGCAGCGCGAAAAGAAAAGGGATTCCGACACATGTTGACGGGCTATACAAAACAGGTAACTGCATCTGATTGAAGGAAGTAGTTGGAAGACCACATAGTCTGGGAATATCAACACTCACAGCCTTCCAGCAAACTGAACTTCTAAATGGAGACAGCCCAAACACCTAAAGACTTTGGACTTTGAATATCTGAAGAAGTCCCTCAGTCCCTCGTGCCATCCTCATGCCTAGAAATCCCATAGAACCCCATTCACTTCTGCCCAGAGGCAGCCCTTCTGCATCGCCCACTTCAGCAAAACCTGACCGTTCGACCGACCCCGCCACGACGCGATCGTCTTCGTTTCACGGGCGCGCGCGCGCGCCACTCACGAGGTGAAGCGCGGACACCGACCTCCGCTCCTCTGGGTGAGGCGCTTTGAGCAACGCGGGTGAAGGAGACCCTCCCCCTCCCTCTGGGTCGCGCGGCAAACACACGTTGAACGCTCGGTCGCGCCACGCTCGCCGCGGTGGCGTGGGCCGCACCGCGCGCCGCAATTCGGTGCCTGGGCTCCCGTGGCTTTGTGCGCCTTGGCCGCCTGCTGCACCGGTGGAAACGCGAAGAAGTCCTCCGCCTGCCGCCGCCGCGATGAGGGACGGCGGTGTGGCTCCGATAAAGGAAGAACAAGGGGGGCGGTAGCCGGGTCCAGCTCGAAGTCAGTGTTCTTTCACCCCACCCGCGTGAAGGGCTTGTGTAGAGAAAGTGGTGGTAACTGCAAAAAGGATTTGAACAAAACTGGACTTTGTGCAACAAGTGCCTCTGCAAAGGAACCTCTGTGGCAAGGCTAAAATGTTTGTTGACACGAACCGCCTAAGAGTCTTGGTAAATCTGCTGTTACAGTACCATATTCATCCATATTCCAGAGTTATGACTTGTAGAATCCAAACATGGGTAAACCTCCCTCAGGAGATCTCTGAGGAGCATCAAACGCTTTGCTCGTCTGCCGCATTCAAGTCAGGTCTGAGGTCTGACTCGCTGACATTGCAAGACCCCGGCCCCTTCATATTTGCCGAAAAGGAAGGCCCGAATGGAAGCATAGAAAGGGCTAGCTACACAACTCACTCTTGACATCTCTTGACCATAGGCATCCGTTCCAAACCATTGAATCTCTGCAACTCCCAGTCGCCTGCTTCGCATCGCCAGATCCCAAGGAGGCATAGGCTTGCAGCGCGATGCCATGCTTCTGACAGAAGTCCTTGCAGAACACGCGTCACGCGATGTCACGCGCGACCCGTCCGGATGAAGGACCACACCGATGTCTCCATGGCGATCGACATCTTCACCAGTCTTCTTGCAGTAGCCCAAATGCACATCGCTCCTTTCATGAGCCTGGGACCTGGACCTGTGATTTACCCAAAATCCGATTATACCACAAGCAAGCAGCACCCCGCCAGCCACCCACCCGGTGTCCAGCATCTCTTGTTGAACTAAGCGTGGATGAAATTCCACCTGGTTCACCATGGGCCTCGGTCTAGCGACTTTGCATGGACACCGTAACTTAGCCGTGTGTCTATGCTTGAGCAAGCTCTCTTGTGGCTTGTTCCTGGCTGAACCTCATGTATTGTTTGTGGATGCGTCCGATGAAGTTTGGTGATAATCTCTCATGCTGCTCGATCTGAGTGGTTGAGCTCTCAATGGGAAATTTGTGATGGAGCTGCTTGGCCAAGACAGTGAAACAAACGCAAAGTTTCATCCCGAGACCAAATGTTCAAACAGCACCGCATGCTTGAAGCACGGAACATGACTAATTCCCTAGCTTATGTGGCAAGATGGTGATTTTTACCCAAGGGCGGATGTCACTTGGCTAGCGAATTAAGCTTCTCTATAGCAAGATGTCCACCTTGGTGTCACAACCGATGTTCCAGATTTGGTAGTATGATATGAGGCCTTCCATGGCCAAAGGCTAGCCCATGGCTAGCTAAGCTTGTCTGGCAAGATGTTATAGATTTGATATGAGGCCTTCCATGGCCTTCCAGGCCGTTCTGAGACTCCCCGACTTGATCTTGCAGGTCTTCAGCAGCTGCTTCAAATGCCGCAAGGAATAGTTCGTCACCCCGATGGCCTTTCAGAGCTGCGCGAGCTGGCAAGGGATGGATGGTCCTACACTAAGCCATCCAGTCACCAAGCCATCCAAGGATACCGCCGCCACTGTTCTTGTTCTTATGTGTTCTTTCCGATTTGTTGTGATTCCCAAAGCCCAGAACAGTTTTGCTGTTCTGAGAGAGTGATGGAGTTCAACTGCTTCCAACTGTGAACCTGATCTTCTCTGAACATGTCCGAACACCCTCGCCGACCGACCCGCCGACCGCCGCGTTGACCTGCCCCGTCTCCCGGGCAGGCCGTTCTAACCAACACCGGCGGCATCTCCGCCTTCACGAGGCCCTGCTCGTAGAGCTCCTCCATGGCGCGCCAGGTGCCCTTGTCCCGCATCGCCGGAGTCCAGTCCGGAGGACACACCTGACCTGGCACGGTGTCCGCGTCAAAACGCGGTTCGGACGGGCAGGTGGTGGATGGAATGGATATGTTGAGAGATCGAAGAAAGAGAATGCAAAGACATATATGTTCTAAAAGTGATTTATACTAAGATTGATCTATTTTCAGGGTTGGAAGGACTTTTGGTGTTTCAGACCCTCTTTCGTCTAAGAGATAGATATCGTATGTTCGAAAGACCCTTTGTCATATCTACCCAAGTACCCAGCTCACAAGCACAAGAATCTACCTGGTCAAAGGATGTCAAAGGCCTCTGCTAAAAAAAAATACAACAAAAGAACCTTCTTCATCTCCAGTGCAGTGCTCTTTGGTAGCAAAAAGCTTTTGACCAGGTATGCTTGAGAGCTGGGTACCTGGGTCGATGTGACCAACTGTCTTTCGTTCGGACCACCGGCCCCTCGGGCCTCGCTTGAGAGGCCAACCGGTTTTGGGCCCAGGCCAGTGAATGACATAGAGGTCCTGAGCCGGATGGTGAAAATGGAGCCGACTCTGCACTGGTCATTGAATGCTTCATGCACGGAGTCCTCTGTTTGGATGAGCCATGATGGGATATGATATGGCGACCATGGTGTGTAGGGTGAGGTGTTCACCCAGAGCCACTGAGATGGGAAAAACAAATCTGGATGCTTCATGCGTAGTTAGTTTGCGTTTCTTGTGTTTCCCAACTGCAGATCGTTGAGGGGGGATCCTCAGTGCCAGTGCAACTGCAATCGTTCTTTTGATTGGAAGCTAAGAATATGGTATAATAAGATGCCATGCAAAAAAAAAAGAATGTATCAAGTGTGAAAGGTTCTGAATGTTTCCTACTTGTTCTCACTTTCTTCAAGCCTTTACAAAGATTGCTATTGACCAAGATTGCCGCCATCTACTCCCATCATCTCCCATCAACCTGTAATATACTTATATACTCACTGATACTCACCTACCACTAGATCTACTGCTGTCAACCAGCAGAACATGAACCGAAAAAAGCCGCCTCCTGGTCTCGCCCGTCTGTCTGTTTTTCATGCGCGTCCGGGGCTCCAGGTAGTTCACGCCCAGCTTGCGAAGCGACTGCTTACAGGCCTGCGACGGCGCCTCCGCTCCTTTGAACCCAACGATGAGGTTTGGGCTTCTGCGACTCCGGAACAACGGATGTGGCACCAGGTGTCTCAGAAAGCACCAGGTGTCTAAGACGTGTCCGGGGTGGTGAGAGTCCAATCACTTCAATCGTCGTCTCAGGAGTCGTCGCTGTGGTGTTTAGACTCGACCCATGTCATGTGTCGAGTGGATCAGCACCCGGAACCTCCAAGTTCGGCACCCCATCGAACGTGACCTGCTGGTACTTCAATCGAACGAGGATCAGGTGCACTATCTGAGGATCAGGTGAAGCATCATGGATCAGGTGAGTCATGTGAGAGCTCTAATTGTTGTTCCATCTAAGATGCCAGATCCACAAACCAACGACCCCCATAGATTCCCCAGTTGTACGTCGCTTCACCTCACGGTCCAACGGTCAATCAATCCACACCACGTGCCATGCGGACCACACGTGCGCTTTGCTGCTTGCCGCGCATCGCGAGCTCGCGCATGGCCTTGATGGTCCTCTCGTAGCCATGGCTGGAGCGCCAAACCTGAGTTCTGGACCAAAGAACATCAACTGATTTTGGATCCAGCCATGGCTCAGTGGTCAAACTGCGTCATTTGGATCAACCAGCTTATGTTGGTCACACTGAGTCATACTCAATGCCTGGCCATCTGCTATAGAGGTGCCATGTCAGTGTGAGGATGAATGATGCTGGGGAGAGTTGGTGCAGCATTTGAAGGCGGTGATTGTAGAGTCTCCAGGTGAATGACAAAACTGTTCACTGCAGCTGTGGCAGCTGATCAACCGTAAGCTCTGCTCCAAGACATCAAGACCACTAAGACAAGAACAGAACAAATAGATACAAATAGATCTGTATCCTCCACACAAAACAAACAGGTGTGTAGGACGGACACCGAGATGTAAATAAATCGATTGCTCTATCGTTCTGTTCGCTGCTCCCTGTCAGACGTCCGATCTGGGTCACCTGTCCTCACGGACGGACATGGGCCACATGTGCCAGAGGTCCACTGAGTCCACAGCCCACTGTCGCTCACTGAGTCCACAGCCCCAAAAAAAACCCTTCACACATGGCTATAGCTCAAGTACTGTGAAGTGGCTGAAGTACCGGTGAGACTCGAGACCGGTGCCTCACTGCCTCACGCACTGGAACGGGCGTCTCTTGCGGTCTCCCTCCGCGGCATGGCGCAAAGTGGCCTTCGTTTCAATGAAGACATCCTCCCGTGCCACGCCGCTCTGCCGAATCGCCTCACCTCACCGGGGGTCAGTAGGTCAGTAGGTCGACTCGACACCCCCCTCCCATAGATGATCCCATGGAAGTCTGAGAAGTCACCCGTGGCTTCGACCATGCTCCGAATAAGAAACCCACTGGGGTTCTGGGAGGTCCATGTGGTCCGAACAGCAGGAGGGCTGGTTCCAGCCCCACTGGGGTTCTGGGTCAAAAGAACGTGGATGGCACGCATAGGCCACGGGGTGGCGAGCATGTTGCTCGAACAAAATCCTTTCCATAAATCATCTGTAGTGGGCATTTGGGTACTGCAACAGGTGCAACAGCAACACGTGCACATCAAATTGCAAAACCCATGGCAAAACCCTGTACTTCTCTATTGCACATCAAGTTCCCCACACACCACTAAAGTCAAATGTACTTCTCTATTGCACATCAAGAGAACATGTGTTTCTGCCGCATTCTGAGACTCGCTCGACCTGCTGCTCGGTGCTACCCATCGAATCAGCTGCTCGGTGTTCTGGCGAAACTCCCCGCCTACGCCCTGCTCGTTCTCATAGACCTGGCGGGCACGACCTGTTCATGAAGCCTTTGGGTGTCCAAGTGAAAAAGAAAAACATCAGGTGTTGGTTGGATCTATAGAAGCTATAGCATGAAAATTGCATGCCAAAAGCAAAACTCCAGCATACTCCAGCTAGCTTTCGTGATTAATTTTCACGCCAAAAGTATCCTCACTGTCCCGCCTCTTTTCGTCCCCCATGTACCTCGCCTCCAAGCTTCGCCTTCACCACTCTCCCCACCAAAAAAGCACTCCTCGTCCACCTCGCCTGGGCGGTGTCGATCAAGCGGTAACCCATCTTCAAGGCGTTCACCAAGGGCTTGATCACCTCCGACTTCGACAGCTTGTAGGTGCCTGGCGCCACCGCCCGCGTAGGGCCGGGTCCCCAAAACCCGGAGCCGGGTGGAGTCCGTCGGTGGGGCATGGAGTTGGTCGTGCATGGGATGTGGATGGATGTGAAGCTCCGCCATGCAATTTCAGTCGTTTTCTTGGAGAATGAACATGAATGAACGGATTTGTATATTCCACGAACGAAATCTGGAAAAAAAAACGAAGAAGAACATGCATGTTGTTTGAAATTCCGGGGATGATGTTCCACCCAACTTGACTAGCGGGCCGGTGGGCATCTCCCTTATAGTCGCTCTTCACAATGTTTGCCTAAGGCTTCTCAAGTCATAGGCTCATTTGACCTCTGTTTTGATAGGAAGTTTGACCATATGTTGGATGGTTGGTCCAAAAAAAGGCTCATATAGGCCTCTGGATCTCCGTAAAAAAAAAGAGGCTCTAGCCCTGCATCTTTGTGTTGCCCAAACCCATGTGAAATCCTGCAGCGCCGACTTGGAGGACCACTCATTATGTCATAATATACCCAGCAGGTCACAAGACGGGGTGCTATCCATGGAGGTTCGGGGTGCCCCTGTCACATCCACATCCACTCACGGCCTCGGGGACGAGCTACACCTTTGTGACTCCTGGTATTTTGAATTACCCTGCTCTGCAAAACAGACCATCTGAGGTCTTTTTCTGAGGGAAACCCATCTTCCTCCCGTGCTTTTCGGAGGCGTGAGCGGGCAGGACCCGCTTGCTGCCAGGTGGCCGAAGCCCACCACCGGCCTCAACGACCGGGACCGGACGTGTGACAGCCGGACATCTTCAAACAACTTCTAAGTTGGCAAAAAGCCGGAATACGGCCTTGAAATATGTTCATGGAAAAAGCACCGCTTTTTAAGCGTGTTTTCTTTTTTCGGGAAAGCGGTTTCGGGTCCCCCAACAATCACACCATGGGAAGAAACTAACATGAATCAACAACGACTTGACTTGACAGGCTTGCAAGTGACATTGGAGCTCGAGAAACATGGTCTGCAAGGAAGGTGCACTGTTCCACAATCAACCTGCTGTTTTATAGTCACTAGCTAGTGGTTCCCCAATCTGCCAATCTGCTGGAGGCTCATGGCATGCATGGTGTGGTTCCCAATTCAGTCCCCTTAATTTGAGCCCCAGCTGCATGAGGACTCCGTTGTGCAGTGGAACACCACTGGCCAGAGAAGCAGCAGCTGACGTGTGCTTGACCTGTGTGTTCAGGTGTCACATGTTTAGAGACCTGCAGGTCCTGAAGAAGGCCAAAAAAACCAAAAAGCTCGCATGTTCGAGAGCATTCACATGGTTTCGGAGATCTTAGGACGATGGAAGCACTTCAGCAACATACCAGGTTTGACAGACTTGGATACTTGAGTGGACCTGCTTCCAAATTTGCTGCTCCCAACAAGAGCCTCTTCGCCATAAAAACAGTTTCATCATTGATCGGCCATAGCGCTGAAGGAGTTCTAGCGGGGTGGTGCCCAAATATCCCAAATCCCCCAAGCAAACCTTATCTGAAAGTGAGAGCATATACCCGACACAACGCAGGGGGGTGTTTGGACCCGAACCAGACCCTTCACATATACCCAAACACTCTATGGGACTGCCATATATGCCGATCAGTTGGGGTGGTTTTGGGGGTCAATGTAGGCATATATGCCATACAAGTAGATATGATACGATCGTTCCGCCGATCCATTCAGGTGGATAGGCTGGAATCGACTCACTGAGAACTAGCTCACTGCGACAGGAGGACTGGTTTGTGTGATTCCAAATGCACCTGTCACTGGTCTAGTCTCAGCCCCCATATTGGTAGACACGCAGTTGGAGCATCAATGGACATCTCTGCTGGGACAGACTGGAAGATTTACATACATATGATGTATGAGTGTTTCCTTCTTGCCTATACCGCACACCTACTGCCTAGCAAGGCGTCCACAAGAAGGTGATCTTCCCCCTCCAACATCAACAACGCCAGAGCTGGTTGGTGGTGTCAACTCACTTGAAAACTATGGGTTCCATCATCCCAAGTATATAAAGATTAAACTTAAAAATAGATAATTAATTATAGATATACATATTATATGTATATATATATTATATTACATTTATATACATTTATATAGTATAATGTGATATGTCTGAAACCACCACCCAGCAGAGCCACTCTGCTCCAAGGTGCCTTCACCAGCGAGCAGCTGACCTTCATGGGCACCTGCCAGTACCACAAAGCAAGGTGCCACTCACACGTGATCACACAAAACACATGGAAGACGGCGTGCTACACTCTGACGAACACATCATATGGTTAAGTGCACGGAAAATGGCCCTGAAACAAAGACTGAACTTTCCTTTTACTAAATCACTATGCTAATCTTATTCCATGACTATTCCATTTCATGGTCTTGGTCGCTAATGGGTCTTGGTCGCTAGCGGTCTTGGCTAATCATGAATCCGACCCAGACTCATTGAACACAGCACAAGACAGCTCAGTCAGGCCAGCCCTACAGCTCCACCGCTTGACTCCAAAGCTCCACAGCTGAGCGGATGTTGTCAGTTGTTCCCGAACACGAGCGGATGTTCGAACAGATGTGTGTGTGTTCTCTGCAAAGACCCACACGAAGTAAGCAAAGAGATGTGCCGTCTTGAACCATCTTGTTGCTAATCTCCAAACATCGTAATTACACCAGTACACCATATATGTCCCACCCACCCCTTCTTCAATCTCTTCAAAGGTTGGACCCAAGGCGCAGCCGGCACCAGCTCCAAACGCTTCGCTTGCAGGTCATAGCGCAAATCGCCTCAAACCGCGAGTCGGCCGTGGGTGGAGGAGCCCGGGTCATGCGGTCGTTCGGGGGGGATGCGGGGACCGTTGAAGAGCGGTGAAGAGGCGCGGCGCTGGGGCGGATTCCAGCGTGTCGGGCGAACGGCGTGTGTGGGTGAAGGTCTGGAAAGGAAGTAGTTCTTGCTTGTGGTAGCAAGGGGTCACAGCAAAAGGCATTCTAGATCACGGCCGAAAACCAAGAAGGTTCTCCTTCCGATTTCAGAAAGACCACTTTTGGCGATTGCTCAAGAACAGGCAGAATAGGGTCCCACACTGGAAAGAGGAAAAGAAATTACATTTTGCTGGTCCCTTGGTCCAACTTTGAGCCATTTTGACCACAAACAGGTGAGCGACCGCCAAAAACTAGGGGAGAACCCTGGCTGGAAGTTTATCTCTGACCGCAAGTCTGCGGCACATCGTGCACGGCGTGTCCTGGCTGGAAGCTTAAAGGTAGGTATATTATATGTGTTTTTGTATATATGTTTATATCATTTATATCGTTTTTGGGAATGCCAGCTAGCGTTATTTGTAAGGAAAATGAGCACGTCCATGTCTTTTTCTGACAAATGTGAGCTCTGACCCTTGGCACTTGGTGCTGTCCAGCATGTCGCTTTGAGAGATAGTCTCCATGAACCCCCCTCTTCGTCAGGCCGCTCTTCTTGTAGGCAACCTTCTCTCCAGAGGCATTCTTGAACCTAAGTAACGAAGCGCGTGCTTGCACCGGCATTAGGTTCTGGCCCTTCTGCTTGGGATAGGCCACCATGTACAACACCATCCTGAATGAGTCTCGTCTCTCGACGCTAGGGGTTTGAGAGTGTCAGCCCGCCTGACAGCCGGTCCGTTCGACGCGTCGCGTCGCGGCACGCGTTCGCTGAGCGGCTGCAAGGTCAATGACTCCCTGACAGTGAGGCCATCACACTGGTCCTTGGAAGCTTCGTCGCGGGGGATGCGAAAATCTTCCGTTTGGGCGGAAAAGACGAAAAGGCCGTTCGTTGCCGGGGAGAGGGAAGTAAGTTGGGTGGGGCGTGCACTGGCGTGCACTGGCGTGCGGGGCAGTCTCTTGCAGGTACACAGCCTTTCAGGAATCGACTTGCTAAAGAGATAGTGGGCTGAGGACTGGGAGATTGGCATTGGACCAATTGAAGTCGATTGATGTCCTCTTGCGACATCTTGCGACTGGGAAAGCACCCCCCCACTTCTCAACATCAAAAAAATCGATTTTCGTGAGTGCCAGGCTCCAGGTGCTTGCAAATCACAATCTTCGTTCCTTCCTGGTTTTCTATGCCTGCCGGTTCGATGCCCAGTCTTGTTCATCAGATGCCCCGGGTGGCGTCCATCACACCTCATGAGGCGAACGAAGGCTTCTCAACCCAACAACTGCACGGGGCGCGCTGCACGGCAGACCCGCACTGCAGCAGGGAGTCACTGCGCTTGTCCATGTATGAGGCATTCGATGTCACCTGGAAAAGACAGGCGGGTCCATGTCACGGAACCGCATGTCTGACGTGGCGGGTGTGCATTGTCAATTGTGGGGGGGCTGGAGTAGTCGCAGGAACCAAACCTGAATGTTCACTTAAATCATTACTAAGATATAGTGAACATTCAGAATACCAAGATTCATAGACATTTATACTAAGACATTCAGAATACATTGGCTCCGTTGGACATGTTCATTAAATCTTAGCATCCTCTATAGTATTCAATACTAAGAGATGCTAAGTCCAACGAAGCCAATTAGGCTTGGCCAAAAAAATGCCTTGCGGTCAAATGGTCTGGAATTCTTGCATCAACATCCATCAACTGCAAGTTCCAGAAGCTGAATGACCCCACCATTTGAGCCTTTCAAACGACCAAGCAGGATCAAGGCAATCCCCAAGTCGTTTCAGGACGGCGTTTTCGCCACCCAATCGTCCAGGGTCCATCAATTCTGCTCGTCTTTCCTTTCTCAGATCCATTCATAACCCTCCAAGATCCGTGCTTCTCCTGAAAGCACGTCCTCTGTGTATCAAGCAAAATGAACACGAAATCGACACCAAGATCTCTGCTACCACACCAATTAACAGTCGATTTCAGCCCCATACGCCTAGGACGGATGATTCTATGACTGCGACTGGGGGGGCGGGATGGTGCCCATGTGGTTCTGATGGACCACAAAAAACAAGAATAGGAACTGGTTCACCACCTCCTGGCTCCCAGGGGACATCCTCATCATCTACACCCCCAGGCCGTGGTCGTCCAGCGAGTTTCGCGGCACGGTTGGCGCGGCGCGACGGCGCGACGGCGCTTGGACGACGATGGGCCCGATGGACGGCCTCCGTTCGCTTGAGCTTGGCATCAAGTGGGAGAGGCCCCTTAGTCCATGAGACACCTCAGCTGGACTAGGTCATGGCGCCTCGCACGTTTTCCCGGTGGTGTGCTAAACCCAGACTGCGAGCGACTGGTCACCGACGAGGTAGAACCTGCCTGCAAAGAGAAAGCCTTCAAAAGACCACTGCCAAAGCTGGACCACTGCTAAGACCTTGCTAAAATGTCCTGCCAAAGACGGAGCCCCTAGCAGTAGCGTCCGATCGCTCCGTTCGAGTCGCGATGCCAGGAGCCCCTATATAGGAGAGCGAAGCTTCTTGTTTCTAGTAGTAAGGCCAGGAGCTGCTAGCCAAGGAGCCAACGCTCTTTGCCTTCTTCACAGGTGTCGTCTCCAACTCTGTTCCCGCCGGCCGCTTCATCGACGGCATGGCGCCCACTCGAGGGACGAGCCGGGCACGCAAGATCGGCCGCGTTTTTCTCCGCGATTTCTTCGAGGGTTTTGCTAGTCGAGATGGTTTTGTCTTTATTTCAGCTCTTTCAGCTTCACTGTTCCTTTTTCTTCATCCAAAAGGAGGCAGCAAAGCAGAGCACAGCAGAGCACAGCAGAGCACAGGGCCGATCAGGGCCACCAGACAGATGGTTGAAGGACTGGGTGTGTTTATCCAAAGGCGTGGTTCCATGTGGTATACAACAAAAAGAACCGTGTCTTTGGAAGGAATCTCATATCAAAACACATGGGAGAAGTATCCCGGAACCCAGAGTTTGGATTTAAAAAGTAATACATGTGTGGCTGGATGGTTTCTTCTCCATATCGAGTGATGTAATATATGACCGTCAATGGAGATGTCCAAACACACCAAACTCCAGCATGAAAAGCCCTTCACTTGGGGGCCAAATGTCATGCACCAGGGAGCAAGCTATGCTATGCGCTACAAGCTATGCGCCCTGTCCACGAACACACCGAATCAGCCGCATACGCAGTCCGGTCGCGACGTCGCGCGCGCAGCGCGCGGCCGAAACGATCTTTTCTTCAGCTGGGTTCGTCTCTTCCGCGATGTCGGCGGAACGGCCTCGGCCACTTGGAGGTCTCTTCGGCTCGGGGGGCTTTCCAAAAACTCAACAAGATGATCGAGGCACTATAATTAGTAGGTTTTCCAAAGAAGAACCCCTTCCAAAAGCCATCCTTAAAGATCTGCAGAAAAAGAACACCTGCAACTGTCTCACAGGACATGCGTTTGTTGCTACTGCCAGAACGGCCCGTTGGCTCGGCGAGCCCTGCCGAGCCAGTTCCGTCCTTCCACCTCAGTTCCGTGCGTTCGGTTACTCAGTCCGCATGCCAAATGGGCGGCATCGTCCAGTAAGTCGTGCTCTGACCTGGGTGCGGAACCAGAAGATCTCAACACCAAGCTCTTGCAACAGAAAGCGGCGGAACCAGAAGAGGCCGCTGGGTACGGTCACCCTTCGGCATGTGCCACGGTTCCAAAGAAAAAGGAAAGTCTCTCTCCGGAAGAGGATTCTCTCATGACTTGGGACGTTGGAGCCTTCAATGGGGTAAGGATTCACGAAGGAGGTCGGAACGCCACGCCGGCAGTTCGGTCAGCACCATGACCGGCGGGAACCAGTTGAGCTGAACCAACAAAAATGCCCCAGAACCATCCCTTTACCAATTTTAGCAGGGGCGGAGGCAGGGACGAAAGGGGGGAGGGGGATAGAAAAAAATAAAAAAAAACATTAAAAACATGAAAAACAATAACATACGAAAACATAGTAAAAATATGTTTAAAATAATCAAAAATGTGCAAGGGGGGAGGAAAGCAAGAGAACGAAAAACCCTTCGCAGCTGGCGACACCCACCCATCTGCATGAAAACCGGCCTTCAGGCCCTCTTGCTTCCACTCTTTTGTGCGTTTGTCCCGGCGTTGCGGGAGCTCTTCTGGCCAGTGGGATAGGAGCCCACGTTCCTGCCTACTGTTTGACATGAATTACTTCCTTTTTAGCGTTCTTCCATGTGAGGTCCACTGGAATCGCAGTGGCCCGGCCTTGTCCGCGGCGGCCTTTCGCGTGCCTCCCGCCGCGAGAAACCTTTTCAACCGTCTGTCGCGGCTGGCGGGCTTCTTGCTCAAGGAGCTTCTCTTTGTCAGGGCAGTCCTCTCCCTGCGGCCGACCACTTCCAATTTTGAGGCTGCATTTTCAGCGGTGGAGTGGGCGCACACAGATGGCAGATCATACCCAGCATCATGCCAGTATCGCGAGGGGCAGCATCAATGTGAAAAAGTTGGGTACCCGAACCCCATTCATAGATTGTCAGAGCAGCACCCAGACATTGACAGGATAGCCGTGGAATTCTTCTGACAGGACCTCCGGCGCCATGTAGAACAAGTTGCCTGCAATTCTTGATTCTTCGACATCAATGTGGCAGCACCAGCCCCAATCAGCTACTCGCGCGTTACCCTGTAAAGAGTACGTTGTCAGGCTTCAGGTCCCGATGCAAAATGCCAAACGTCATGGCTTCCAACAATTGCGCAGCAGCTGTGTACAAACGCGCTGATGACAAGGGACAGAGGCAACGGCCTGAGCAAAGCTCAAGCAGAAGGAATACTTCGTTTTGGTGCTCGCATTCATCCAACAGCTGCAAGACAAATGGCGCCTGCTGATGCTGATCGGTAAGAATCTGCATAACCGTCTCCTCTCTGAAGACTTGCTTTTCCAGATCGAGCCGTTGCCGGATAACCTTCAAGCCAGCCTCTTCTACATCATCCACGACACGATGAACTTGACCAAAGGCCGCCACGCCCAAGAGTTCTTTGACGCGTAGATTCACGAAGGCCGGTGGCAGCTCACACGTAAAGGCCCCTTAAGGGGCAAAAGTGCTTCGCAGTGATATCGATGTCAAAAGAGAAGGCAATGCCTCAGGTCGTGGCTTTGTGACCCGTTTGCCGAACTTTCGTGCGATTTCCACGTCGTCATTCTTCTTGGCTTTTTGGCGCCCGGACGCGCTGCAGCCGCACCGAAGTAGAAGGAAGCCATCACCCCCATGCCTCCGAGGAAAAGCCCAAAGCCGAGGGCTGGGGCGAGCAATCCGAACGCTGCAACTGAACCAGCTGTGCCACTTGCAGCTGCGGATGCTGTGATGATGGTTGAAGTAGGAAGAAGTAGCAACTGGCGCTGACATCGCTGCAGCGCCGAAGCTCCAAGCTCCGGTCTGCCAGCCACTGCAAGACCAAGAGTCAAATCCATTGCTCTGACTGTGTGAGGTGTTTGAAAAAAGTCAACAAATACTTAGGGAACCCAAAACCCATGAAAATGTAGACCTGCTTTTTTCAAGGTAGGTTCTCATGGTAGAAGAGATCGTGATCAGATCGTGAATCATTTTCTCATGACAGATGTTTGAGAATCGATCCCAATGTGTCTTGAGCGAAGTTTATTTGATGTAACATGGTACCACATTCGACGGATTCTTTGAAGCACTACAACTGCGAGGCGCTGTGGGCCCAAGTGAAAGCACAAATGGACAATGACCTCGACCCCTGCAAAATAGGGCAGTAGGCGATTGCCATATGACCGGCATTTGATCACCTAGCACTACTGCCGAAAAGTATGAAGTCATAAAGTGATATAAAATCCCAAAAAGCGTCCGCACTAGCGTCCGCTTCGGTAGTCTCTGTGGTCGGTTGCGACCCACGCCTGACGCCTGACGTGCGGTGACGCCTGCCGCGCCGACGAGTTGCCCAGTGAGTGACCCAGCAACTTTGTTTTTGTTGATGTCTTTGTTCGACTTGTTCTATTGTGTTTTCACTCCTATCCTAATACCAGAACCACGTGGATAACGGCTAGGTTGCAGGCCTTTCCATCTCTCACGCGAGCTGTGCATCGCATCGACCCGCACCTGGAACTGGCCCGTTGGGAACGCGAGCGGTCCGCAGAAGGGCAGTTTTCACATACAAAAACAATGTTTTGTGCTAGGGAACATTCGGGTTTTTGATGGTTTGTGGGGGGGTTCTGGTAGAGTCTACAGGATCTTCATGGATCTTCGGCTTCCTCACATGCACAGATTCTTTCGGATCCAACACACTGGTGCTTAAACTATAGCCGTTGCTACACGAATCCAAGCACGAATTCTTGGGACAACGCCAATGAAAAAAACGGCCGGGCTATCAAAAAGAAAGTTAAAAATATCAACAAGAAAATCTTCCAGCTCCTATCAAAAAGAAAACTAATTGGTATCAAAAACAGCATACCCTTTCACAAAGAGCTGCGCCTGCCACTGCGAACCTCCTTGGTAGCGCTGCGCGATGTGAATCTGGATGTGCAGATTTCGCGGCAGGCACAGCACTTTGAGCACCTCCAGTAGCAAATTTCGTGGCAGGAGCGGCACTTTGTGCACTGGACGTGCAGATTTCCTGGCAGGCACGGCACTTTGAGCACCTCCAGTAGCAGGTTTCGTGGCAGGAGCTGCACTTTGTGCACCGGAACTGCAGATTTCGTGGCAGGCACAGCACTTTGCACCTCCAGTAGCAGGTTTCGTGGCAGGAGCGGCACTTTGTGCACTGGAACTGCAGATTTCGTGGCAGGCGCAGAACTTTGAGCACCTTCAGTTGCAGGTCCCGTGGCAGGCGCTCTTGCACATCTCTGAATCTCGAAACCACAAGACCTGTGGATGGCTCACAAAAGGTCTGCTATGTTGGAATGGCACCTTCCTCTAAAGTTTATGCTGACAACAGGTCTGTTCCTGTAAGTTTTGCCCTCGCATGGCTCACAAAAGGTCTACTGCTCCTCTAAACTTTGCTCACAAAAGGTCTGCTACCTTGGCGTGGCGCCTAAAGTTTATCCCCGGGTGGCTCACAAAAGGTCTGCTACGTTGGAATAGCAAATTCTACCCGCGGGTTGCTCACAAAACAAAGGCCTGCTACGTTGGAATGGCAACATCTTCCTCTAAATTTTAACATCGCAAGGCTAACAAAAGGTCTGCAACGTTGGAATGGCTCCTTCCTCTTCTAAATTTTGACCCCAGGGGCTCACAAAAGGTTTGCTACCTTGGAATGGCACCTTCTCCATCTAAATTTTATCGTCAGGGTGGCTCTCAAAAAAAGGTCTGCTTCGTCTGGTGATAAAAGGTCTGCTACAGTGCTTCACAGGATGTGTGACCAGATTTCCAAATCACCTTGAACGCGTCTTGCCTCGAAAGTACAGACCCAAGGACCGAAGACCAGGACGAAGGACCAGAGGACCAAGGGACCAGAGGACCAAGGGACCAGACAACTAAGGGACCAGGGGACCAAGGGACCAGGACAAAGGGACCAAAGGACCTAGCGACCAGGGAACCAGCAAACCAGGACCAAAGGAGTAGGGGAAATTTTCTTTTTGATGCGAATTGATATTTGTTTGATAGGAATCAAATTTGAACAGACCAGAGGCATTCCCTGGACAAACCAAGCTCAGATGATGGTGGCTCCAACAGAAATACCACTGTGTTAAACTGTTCGTTCCCCAAACGCTCCAGTCGTACCTCCTCAGGTTCGGTGGCTGACGGTATGACTGGACCCGAACATGGCACCCAGTCCTAGTCTTAGTCCCGCAGTGTGGCAAATACACGAGCTGAGCCCCTAGGGGGTTGGGATCGATTCTTTGGCAAGAAGATCATGGCAAAAAAAGATGAGGAACTCACTTGCAAAAGCAGCGGCTGGCCACTGGAAATAGTGAGGGAAAGAAGGCTTGCCACGGCGTGAATGAGGTGGAAGTAGGTACCTGAGCAGCAAGGGATAAAACCTATAGTAACTCCGTTTGCTTCTTCAAGCGAAAACACGATGCAAACCTTCAAACAAACTTCTTATTCAAAGGATTTCTCACGTCTCCTTCTTTCAGAAATCCTCCAGGCTTTTACACGCTCTCACCAGAATCCTCCTTAAGCCTTCCACCCACCGACCCCCCAGCCCAATCCCAAACCAGAAACACCCCCAGCAGCGCCAGGGTGAGTTGTCTTCTCTTCAGCCAAGGGCACTGAGATCGGCTTCGAGTAGTACCACCAGCCATCCCACGTCCAGTCGCAGTGCCGGGAGTAGTACCGGCTGGGCAGTAGCAGTCGCGTACGGGGTGGAGTGGCCGGTCGGGTCGGTCGAGTGGTGGGCGAAGGTCCGAGTCCCAAACAGATCAGCCCTATAGAACATCCAGGTCGAACCGGGACCCCCAGACACGGCCCAGCTTTCTCCGGGACTGCCATCATTGGCGCACGCCCTAAGAATCCAGGCCCGAACCAAACACACAGGGTTTGGTTCAGGTCCGGACCTTCCCCCTGCGTTTCGGTGTTTGGAAGGTCTGACCCGAAACCCGGCCCAGGCTTGGGAAACTAAGGGGAGGAATCCTTTCCACCTAGTCTGTTGGGGTCAGCCAGAAACAAATCAAACCCTGGCAACACAAATTCAGTCGTGTTCAACATTGACTCAGGGGTATGGGGGTTGGTCGGGTCTTTGACTGAGGGGATTGAATATGTGTCCATCTATACCCCAGACACTCCATGTATGCCATATATATATATATATCATATATCTACATTGGGGTGGTGCCAGAGGGGTCAATGTAGGTATATATATGGCAGTCCCATGGGTCGTGTCTGGGTACTGTAGTTCATTGTGCATCTCTTTTGGAGTCCTTCGAGTCGCCTCTGGCCCAGGAAATGCGTCGAACTTCGAGGAGGCCTCGTGTCCCAGTCTGCTCGAGCGAGGAAATCGGACATCATGGCGCTCCACACGTCAGCGAACTCCTTCAATGAACGGTCAGAGACAAGGAGCTTGATGAACCAGGCACAAAGCAGGATCGAGAACAAGAGCTCCCAGGGCACTCCCAACCTGAGAATTGGCATCAACTGTGTCAGCACGGCGAAAGAAGAAGCACTGCTTATAACCACTGCTTCTTCCTGGTTTATGAGAGACGAGTTTTGGGTTTGGGTCCCTTTTGAATTCTGGGAACAAGGATGTGTGTGTGTGGTGAAAATGAAAACTTTCTTGTATCACTGCTGATGAAACGTATCTGCGAAGAAACCTGATTGGGAATGGCAGTGAAGAAAATAAAATGTACAAAATCCTTTCCAAAGGGTGCAAGAGCACTCGTCCATCAAGTCCATCATTCATACACCCTGAAAGAAACCCACATGGAACCGGAAAGAGGAAAATTGTCTTCCAGTCTGGTCCATGCCATCAGGTTCCATGTTAGTCTTCCCGGGTGTACACGCGTCTTTATTCTTGTTTGGAGCTTTGAAACTCTCTTGTGAGCTCTTTGACCGGACACCAACCAAGAGGCGTCAGATTCGCCCGGCAAGAGTTGTCCTTGGATCGACATGAGGAATGATTCCAATGGACCAGTCAACGCCGGTCAACATTGGGTATATCCAATCCCCTGTGACAGGGGATGGGGATGATGATGATGATGATGATGATGACGACGGTGATGATGACGATGATGATTATTACTATGATTATTGTTATTATTATGATAATCATGATGACGATGACGATGATGATGATGATGATTATTTTTTATTACTATTACTATTATTATTATAATCATGATGACGATGATGATCATGATGGTTAGTAGGGGCTTGTCTCAAAATACTTTATCGACTTTTGCAGGTAATGGGACACATATAGACTGTTCATGGAAGAACTCCACTGACAGAAAAAAAGACTGAATTATTACTCGTGCACTCGTGCACTAGATGTATTCTTTCAACAACCTCATATCTCGTGACCGATTTCTGCTTCGCACGGGCGTGGAAAGCAAATGCGGTGCTCGTGACCCATGAAGTGTCTGCTCAAAGGTCCGGTTTCCAACTGTACTAACATTAAGAGGAGGGAGTTGGGAATCGCATCACGTTTCTCTTCCAGGATTTCCCGCTGACGTGATCCTCACCTTGATTCCAAGGTCTGGTGAAGGTTTCTGTCACGCGTGCCAGGCGTGCGTTGTCACTCTATAGCGCAAAACTCAGGACTTCCCAAGTTGAACTTCCCACACCTGGATCTTCCAACTAAACGATGCCAATTGTTCTGCCTCTAAGGGCTGATTTCTATGGATTTGAAGTTCGGCAGGAAATGGGTCAGAGTTGGAAGAAACCATGACTGATGGGACCTGATCACGGGCGATCCAGTCGCCCCCGAAACAGCCAACCTCGTTGCCAAACATCCAGCGGTATGGGCGTTTTCCATCTACTCCGGACGTCGGGAGGGCTCCCGAAAGCGTTCGACGGAACCGGGTTCGGCAAGGTGATTCACCTCCACACCGCGGACACCGCAGCACGACATCCGCTGACGCGCCGCAAAAACCAGAAGCGTCTCCGTAAAAGGAAGCTCTCAAGACACGAGCTTCGTCTGGGGGCAAACTCCAGCTCCCGCCCCCCCCAAGAGGTCCAACGAAAAGAACCGCGGCGAGTCGAGTCTCACTTCTTCCACATCATCTCCTCACGCAGCCTGGGCCCACCGCCTGGCTCTCCCTTTTCCAGGTCTCTGTTTTCAGCCAACACACACGTCATCTCCTCCTCACCAACCCACCTCCGGTCTCCGGTCCCGGCGTCCGGTCCGAGCGGCAATGGGTTTCTCGATCCGCGATTGCCAGGCTTCGGTCGCCGTCGTGTCCGTGGTCGCCGCGACTGCGTTGGGAACATGACGGAACTGAGAAGTATTCGTATGATGTGCTGGGTTGTGTGCATTCAAATGGGACAACAACAGGCCTGACATAGAAGAAGTCCTGTACTAGGGAATCACCCAGAGATACCAATAGATATAGATAGATTATACAAAAGTCGCTTCGGTCGGGGGGACGACCATTCACGGCGTCTTCACCCGCCATCGACAAGGATCGTTTGGCTACTGAGCAGGGCAAAACGTGTTGATGATGAAGGACTCTCAGGGCACAACAAACGCATGATCGGACGGACATGCAACGGACGGTCTCGAACATTTGATCAAACACGCGGTTCGCGAGCGGTTCGAGCAGCTATGTCGGTCCGGGATTTGTCGGTTCAGCCGAGCAGCTATACTCCTTGCACTTCTCCAAGCAACTGGTGATTTTCCCAGAGGTCAAGGTACTCAAGATGAGCCTCATGGCTTTCGGTGACTTTAGAAGAATCATGCTCATGTCAAGACAACCAGCCTTCAGAAGGACCAAGGGCGCCCTGATGATTTCTGTGCCTGATATGTGCACTTGGATTGTGTAGTGTCAGCCACTATCACCAGGTGAGTCCACCCTGCTGCCAAGTTCGGCTTTTATTTAACATCAAAAGAATCCAGCAGAAGCCGCACATGACAGCTGCGGCCTTATGAATCAAAGCCTCAGGATTCTAAATCAGTACGGGTGTTGGAGTCCAGCCCTGTAACAGTATGATCATCCATTACAGCAACAGGGCTATGTCTCAGGTGAGTACCGTTTCTTCTTTCCAATCCGATTTGTAACCAACACCCACCAAACCGGGCCTTTCACGCTTCAACAACACACCTGGACCGAGCGGGCTTGCGTCCAACCCTCGAGCTATTCCTCTTCCTCGACCCACGGATCTTAGCGCCAGCCAAGGCCACTCGTCCATGTGAAGAACAAAGGCCAAGGCCACTGAGTTCACTATACAGTCCTCATCCAGCCGCATTGCGCTCGCTTCGCGAAAACATCAGCAGCATTGCAAAAAACCACTGGGGCGGAGTGGCTTGGAATGGATTGGCTTTTGTGAAGCATGACATGAGTTGAAGGTTGCTGCATGTAGGCTCCTGTACAAGAGTACAAGACTGCCTACATCATACATGAAGTTGTGGGCGGAACCGGTGCATGTTGGGAATCTGATCGAAGGCTTGTAAAGCGGCTTGGGTGTGAGAAGACACGCTGGTTGCCACGGTTTGCAGAAGAAATTGCTACTATTGCTGACAAGACCCAGACATCTAGAATTGCTGGCGCCGGTTTGGTTCTTTCAGGGAAGCCTTGGTGGCCTGCCTGTCCCCCAAATGCCCCACCAAGACAAGACCCAAACCCCCGCCATGACTCGGAGATGGTCTGCGTCTCCATGAGGAAGGTGATGCCAACCTCTGCGGTCAGCTTCCACAACATGAACTTTCCTCGCCGATGCTCGCATCGCCCCGTTGGGCGCTAGGCGCCGGGCGAGGAACTCGAGTATCGTTCATTACGCGAAAATGCGGGCGGGCGGAAGATGTTCGAAGCGAAGGCGTTTCAACGGCCACAGATTTGCTCAGCTTGAATGAAATGCCAACGAGCAAATGGTGAGGACGAACTCTCGCTCTTCCTTCCTTCGCTCCTGGCCTTCCTTTTCTGGGTGAAAGAGTCGGTACATCCTCCCCACATCTCGATGCGCGGCGCGCTTCCTCCAAGAATGAAGAGGCCGTTGATGATCTTCCACCTCGACTGGAAGGCATCGGAGGCGAGCCGTTCGAGGCGGAAAGAGCTCTGCAGACGGGCCAGCGAGAAGCGAACGGACGGATGGAGCGAACGAACGGACGGATGGAGCGGTTCCATTTGGAGTGTTTTGGCATGCTTGGATCTTCCAACCGTGCAACATGTCCAGCCCAACTTGGCTGGTTTCACAAGTTGAAAAGGCAGACATGTACTTCCTTGTTACTAGTAGCTTTGCTCCTAGTAGCGATGGCCTCCACCTAGTAGCTTCTAGCTACCTAGTAGCTTCTAGCTACCTAGTAGCCTCTAGCTACTAGTAGCCAGTTCCAAGATCGTATGACCAACGCCCTCCAGTCACTATTGTGCAATCGTTCACTTCCCTGGCTCCAGTGACTGGGTGGAGGGAGGGTTTCCCTCACGAAGCTCCAGGAAATCACAAAGTCGCACCAAACGACGTCAATCAGATGCCAAATATGGGAAGGAAGAAAGAAGGAAATCAGAGATAGGTCTGAAGAAAAGGAAAGAACTGAGACAGAAGAGAAAGACGAATTAAATGAAACGACGTCATCGGAGAAATGAAGGAAATCCCACTCCCATCCCACTCTGCCGCCGTTCATCAGGCACCTCAATGGCATGCCCGCCACAGAGACATCGACATACTCCAGCCAGTTGTCCCCAACCTGATGGATCTCATTCGGAGCGCTTTTGGTGCGACACGGAGGCTTTTGAAGCGGCAAAGCGGAAGGCTGACAGCCGGGGGTCACTGGCGCGCAAGCAGTCGTCGAACCTTTTGATCAAACAGAATGAAAAAGGTCTTGGATATGCTTGGATCAAGTTATTTGTTTGAACAGCTCCCTCTAGAAATTGGTTTACCAGGACCTTCCAAGTGACGGAAATTGAGAGGTCATGAACAGAGACTCCAAGGCAGTCCCGAACTGAAGGTCCTGGAAGATGCTTTTCTGTCTTACCTTAAACATCTCCCTATAGAAATGAGAGTCATTTGGATTCCTTATGAGATATTCATCTCCAGACCTGGATCAAATCATCTCGCGATCTCATTCCGAGTCACCAAATCATCTCGCGGATCTCGAAAGTGGATCCATGTCCTCGGCAAAACGGCCAACGCGTCGGACGTGGACGCTTCCGTTGCCGAACAACGGGGCCAACGTGCCAACGCGTCGGTGGGCGATCATTCTGCAACAGGAACGGAAGATTATGGCCCATGCCGCACCGCAACTGGAGCTTGTTGGGGGTCAAGTGCGGCTTTTCCCACACTTCACCACCTTCATCCACCTTGAAGCCTGTTGGTGAATATCCAGCTGCTAGCTCTTCCAGCCCACCGTGCGCCACGCCCGTGCCATGGGACCAACGCTTCCCAACGCTTTCCAAGACGACACACCGAATTCCTGCCCAGGTGCGCCGATTCTGTTGGAACCTCATAAAGCCTTGGTTTCCACCCGACGCATGTCGGCACGGCATGTGGGCACCCTCCGGTGCCTCCGGTGCGAGGCATGTCGATGTGCGTCGCATCCGGGTCGTTCTTACAAAAGTATCCAGTGCACTTCGAATCATCTGATCTTGAATCATGCTTCATCTGAGGAGGCTGCTGGGCACCAAACCGTGAACTATCGCGGTCCAAGGCTGGGCATTTTGGTAAAGTGGAACTGTTCACTCAAAAACCTTTAGCCATCTCCCAGGAGTCACAAAGGGGTGCCGAACTTGGAGGTTAGGGGTGCCCAGAACATCCACTCACTTAGGGACCAAACACCCCTTTGTGACGCCTGGTCCCCTCCATGCATGCGACACATCCGAAGAAAACATGGACCTCGAAGTCACGGCAGATCATCCCTCCGAGATGTTTCTTTTTTCCGGGACGGAAACGGCGGCGTTCTCGGCGTCCTCGGCGAAAAGACTGCAGGTGAGAGGCAAACATGCCATCCGCCAAATCAAGATCAGCTCTTCTTGTATACCTCAGGATATATAGGCATGAGTCGAGGCAGCGATCAGCCACAGTCCGGGCCCTTTTGAGGTCCTTTTTGGAGGTCTTCCTCGAAATGCTGCTCCTTTGCCACTTTACCAACGGCCTCAAAACCAGGAAGACGATGTTTCAAATACATTCAAATACATTCAAATACCTCACAGATGGTGCCATCACTACCGCTTCCATGTGACTTTTCCTCGGTGGATCTACAACACCTTCACCATTTCGACACGCTGAAGTTATGTTTTGACGCGAGATTTGCGTCTGGGCGATTCCGACTCTGACGGTCGCAATTCTGATCGCAGCGTGCGCCAGAGTTCAGAGCTGAAAAGCTCCTACTGAATGCTCATCGCAACACCATCAAGAAGCCTCCCCAGATCGCAGGAGCTTCCATCGTTGTTCGCCCACGCTCACACCATCCACCGACCCGGTTTCTGCCTGGGCGAACTCGATGGGTAGAAGAGTCCACCCTCTCGGAGGATCCATTTTGGAGGGATCCACTGTCCATGGAGGGATCCCTAGGGCTCCAAGTACCTTCTAAGAAGGTGGGACTGGGGTGGGTGCCAGGAGGGTCCAGTCATACCTTCTGAGGAGGTACGACTGGAGCCCTAGGGTATGGTGTCCAAGATGCTGAGCATGAAAATGAAGCAAGCGATCCAGCGACACATGCGGCTCTCAGCGCCATATTCGCCTCAGCGCCATCTACCGGATGGACAGGGCGAAGGATCGGGTGTTGGGGTGGCCCAGTTGGATGCTGCTAGTTGGATGATTTTTCAATGAGGAAAGATGCTGCTGGTGGGCCTCTGAATTGATGTTCTTAAGGTATTAAATCTATCCACCAGCCATGCCTGTTGGTTGTGTAGTGTCAAAGAGTTGAGGTGCACAAGGGGTCAAGGCTCATTTGTTTGAAGAAAGCTTTGACATATCTGCGCATTGAGGATCTCTGCATGGCCATTAGCAGTTTGAGGCCCATGAGGCTTTGGTCTAAATCCCTGTGGTTCAGCACACATCGCTCGAGAGGTGACTGCAATAAATCTGAGATGAACACACTTGACTCTTGACTACAACGGATTCATATTAAATAGGATCTACAACCAGCGCCCTCCAACAGGTCGGCCTTTTGTAGCAGACTACCAGACTATCAGGTACCAGGTCAAGCTACCAGGGTGACACCGGACCCCAGGTCGATCAGAACTCCTGCCTGGGTCGATCTCCTCGTCAATCTCACTTTCTCTGTCAGGAAAAATCCTCAGTCGCTCCACGCGCCGTTTTCTGCGACGCAGAGCTTTGGGTCCAGCGAGACAACCACAGCAGTTCCCTACTCTCAAAAGGGACAGGTTCTATTGGTGACTGGGTCCCACCGTCCATGTACCCAGGGCATCCAGGCAAACCACTATACCTGGTAACCAGTGGTTCCAAAGACTAAAGCCATAGACCTAGAATCCCTGGTTCCTTATATAGTGGTAACTGGGATGCACTGGGGTCTATAAAACGTCCTCTCCCCATCAATTTGGCGCACTTCCGGGACCCACGCAGCACGCACGCAGCTCGAGCCGAGGCACTTCTTCAAGGAATCCTTGACAAAGTTCCTGGTGCCTCAAAGCGACCAGGACCGCCAGTCGATCCCAGTCGTGGTGGTGAAGGAACTCTTTGAAGCAGTGCTTTTTGGGGCTTTAAATAGACACCCCGGGTCCTGGAGGGTTCTTGGGAGATACATTGAGATACCAAGAATCCCTTTGGGATGTCAGAATCTGTACCCCACCCAGCCACAAAGTGGCAACATCTTGCAAACAAAAGGAAGTGAAATCATCAAAGAACATCATATACACATTCTTCATCATTCTTCCATAACAAACACAGCACCTCTCGTTTCATTTACGCCCCCAAACCCTCGTCCATGGTGGACCTCTTCTCCATATACTGGCCCCATGAATTTGCTTCACCGCACCATTGGAGCCTATCATTTCCTTCCTGGAAGCCCAGTCCCAACCAGAAACAGTGCTAGTTCTGCATACAATGGTTTGAGATCCTTCCCATATATATGAAGTGGCATCCTTTTCACTGGCGGGAAAAAGAACACATGCCGAACTGAACTAGTTCCACCCGCCCGCCAAACAGCACCAGTTGGCTCCAGGACCGAAAATCGTAGAGCCTCGGACCATCCACCTGCACGCTGCGTCGGCCGCACTTCGGCGCGGATCGCGCAGGTCGCGCAGGTCGCGCAGGTCGCGCAGTGGTCCGGCTGGGAAGGCGGTGGGGAAGGTTCGGTCGGACTCGTGGTGCTTCGGCCCGGCCAGAGACGGAGGGTTCTGACCTTCGTCCCGACCTTCCAGGACAGGTGGGTTTTTGTTGGACAGCCCGAAGAACAACTCTAGGAGGATTACATGTATAGACACCGCTGTGTTCGGGTACTGGATGACGAATGGTCACACTTGGATTCCGGAGTTTTGGGGGGGTGAGGTTCAATTGGAGCAGAAAAACACCGGAACGAAGACTTGGAGCAGCTCAAAATGAAAACTAGCAGAATCCGTCGCCATCATGACTCTGCACTCTAGTAGACATGGCAGGTGAACATGGCCCCCCAAAAAAGAGCTCTCCACAAATCACATGAAATTTTGTTTGAATTTGCATCCTTCACCCCAAAACAACGTATACCTTCGAAGTGGCTGAGTCCCACTAACAGTGAGCACAATCGATGAGCACAAAAGCAGCACCAGGAAAATTAAAAAAAAAGGTCTGGGTCCAATCAAATCTCCCATGCACTGCAAAGACTCTCCTGCTTTCATTTTGAAATGTGGGGCTGGTCCCGGCTGGCCTGGGCTAGTGGCTCTGCTTTCATTTTGAAATGTGGGGTTGGTCCCTGGCTGGTTTGGGCTGGTGGCCCTGCTTTCATTTGGAAATGTGGGGCTGGTCCCTGGCTGGCCTGGGCTGGTGGCTCTGCTTTCATTTTGAAATGTGGGGCTGGTCCCTGGGCTGGTGGCTCTGATTCTCGATTTCGTCAAATCTGGTGCTAGAATTCGTCAAATCTGGTGCTCGATTTCGCCAAATCTGGTGCTCGATTTCGTCAAATCTGGTGCTAGAATTCTTCAAATCTGGTGCTCGATTTCGCAAAACCTGCTGATTTTCTGGAAAATTCTGCCCAGGGCGGAGACACAATCCAACTCAAATTCAAAAATCACCTACTGCCTGGCGCTCGAATTCGTCAAATCTGGTGCTCGAATTCGTCGAATCTGGTGCTCAAATTCGTCGAATCTGGTGCTCAA